ATTGAAGTCAGATTTCTGAGGGAAGTCAGACAGGAACTTAGGGCAGGAACCTGGGACTAAAACCACAGAGGAATGTTGCTCACTGGCTTACTACTGGCTTATGCACAGCTAACTTTCTTAGGTGTCTCTTACCTACCTGCCTAGGAACGGTGTCAGTTACAGTCAGCTGGTCCCTCTCCTGTCAACAGTCTCTCATAAACACGGTGCAAAAATCAGTTTGATTTGGGGTGTTCCTCAGCTGAGGTTTCTTCTTCCAGGAGACTTGTCGCATGTTCTTGCCTCTGTACTTGGCGTGTTCTCAGCAGCGCGGCACAGTGTCCATAGGGCCTTTCTTCTCACTGCGTGGGTGGCAGCATCTCATCTCCTTACGTGCTATCTCAGTTAGCGTTTCTGTTGCTCTGAAGAGGCACCATGACCACAGCAGCTTTAATGAAGGAAAATACTAATTGGGGCCGGCTTACAGTTTCAGAGGTTTGGTCCACCGTTGTCATGGTGCAGAAACATGGCAGTGCGCAGGCACACATGGTGCAGGAGAAGGAGCTGAGAGTGCTGCGTCTGATCTGCAGGCAGCAGGAAGAGAGAGAGTGACAGTGGGCCAGGCCTGAGCCTCTGAAACCCCAAAGCCCCTGGCAGTGACACGCTTTACCCAACAAGACCACACCTGCAATAATGCCACTCCCGTGAATCTATGGGGCTATTTTTATTCAAACCACCACACATGTATGTACTGGAATCTGTTCATTTGGTTCTCAGGCAGTTCACATTTTTTGTGTTGTATCCTATCCTTGGTAGTAGGACCACAAAAGTGGGATTACTGTGCCAGTGTGTGTGGTTTTTGCAAAATACTGCCAGTCTGCTCCTTTGATATGCTTTTTCTTCAGCCCCATGAATTGCAGATGCTGTCAAACCTTTCAGATTTTTTCCAGCTAGGATTGCTGAGGAAAGGCCTCTTCACTGTTTGTTGTGTTATCTTGAGATGATTTTGCCATGAATAGGGTGGTTTATCCTTTTGTATATTTAAGCTGCTTATTCACCATTTTGATAATTCCTTGAAGTTTTTTGACCTGTTTTTTAAAAATTGAGGTTTTGGTCTTTTTCTGAATCATAAATATACTTTTGTGATGCAAGTTGGAAATTTCTTGTTAGTCGAATAAGACATGAGAGGTGTTCATTTTGGACAGAGACTCACTTGGTGGCTCTGGCTGGTTTGAAATTGTGTAGCCTTAGTCTCCTGTGTGCTGGGATTTGAGTTGTGTGCTACCAGCTACCACACCTGGCCCATAGGAGTTCTGTGTATATTTCTTAGCATTCTTTCAGTTGCTTTTAGGGCTTTGAGCATGAGCTTTCTCCCTGTTCATCTGCTGTGATGGAATTTACTGTGCAATCTTGTACAGTTTCTTTCTTGTTTCTTCCACCTCCATTAATGGAATGAAGAGACCCTCAGAAGACATGCCCAGAGGCCATCTCCTAGGGCGTCTAGGTCTCAGTAAGTTCCTTGTTGACATTGACCACCACAGGCTGAGGGCTTGCTGAAGTGAGCCAAAGTTGCCTCCTTTCAGAAGTGCTAAATAATGAATATTGGAAAAAAATTCTTAATATACAAACTGTTAGAAGCCCAGAAGTTAGCAACCTGCAGGTAACTACAACCTAGCTGTATGAAGAGCTGTTTAGGAATCCCTCCTGACCTCCGTCGTCCACAGACATGCATGGCATGCACATATGCGCACCCCCACCCTAAGTTCCTTGAGTAGTAAGTTCCTTGTTTTCCATAGTCTTGCTGTTTAGTGCAGGCTGGCCTAGAACTTCATTACCTAGCCTGAGCTCAACTCAAACACCAATCCTTTTCTGCCCCAGTCTTAAGTGCAGAGATTACAGAGTGTACTAATAAGCCTGGCCATAGTTTTGTTTTCACAGTAATTACTAGGGATTGAAATAGGGTCTTGTACATACTAGGATTTTTTTTTAACTAATTAAGGAAACTGGAGTATATAGCTTCTGGACTCTAGGTGTCCCCCCCCCATTTTCCTATTCATGTATCTATTGTAAGGCCAAAGAAAATAATTACCATCCTAATTCTCTTGAGATGGAGGCAGGGGCAGAAGCTGTTTTTCTGTGGCCAGTGTATTTAACCTCTCTGTTTTCCCCCACTTAGCGTGGATAATGATAGAACTCAACTTAGATTAGTAATTAAATGTAAAATGCTTAATACCTAACATGAGTTCTTTACTGTATGTTAGTTACAATAATTGTTATAGCTTGTCCAATTTTAGGCTTAGCAATTGATTTTTTACTTTTAGGTCTGATAAAACATGATAGACTTATTCATACCAACCAGATTTAGGATTGACCGAGCAACTAAATAGAATGCTAATCTTAATTACTAAGGGATTATTCTGGTTATAAGTATACATGACTATTCTTGGGGAACATGAAATTAAATTACTCATTAACACTTATATAGTGTTAATTGACATTATGTTCAAGTTTTTTATAGACTATTTTATTTCAGCTTGGCAAGACCTGGAGAATTGTTTCATTACAAATATTAGCAGGAGTATGAAGAGTGTGGCTCTGGAGGTGAAGACACCAGTGCTCCTCAGTCACTCCCCTGAGGGGTCTGCAGCAGAGAGGACGAGAGCCGGGAGCATAGCATATAAGAGTGTTTGATACAGAGGCTGTCATTAGGACATGGTGTGTAACTGATGCCCATTTTCAGGTTCTGGGTCAGCCACCTAGTCCACATGTGTTCTGACAGACTTCCGGGTTAGCATATATTAATACAGCAGTGTTAAAATGCATGCCAACTATGCTCTGTAATTTCTGAAAGACCCAGAGCAAGGTTTCAAGTAACATATTTCTACTTGCTCCCATCCAAGCTTAGCTTCTGAGATCAGATGAGATTAGGCGCTTTCAGGGTGGTATGACCGTAGACCTACTTAGACTTGCTAACTCCTTAGCTCTTCACTGGCTCTCACCCCAGAATTGGTGGCCTTCTTGCCTGTAGAACATATTCATGTTTAGCCTAATCCCAAAGGGACTGCAGCTGATGTGTGCCTTGCCAGGTCTGTATCCCAGTTCCTGGTACCAGCAGTCTTCCACCAACACTAGGAAGAGTACCTCATCGGCTAAGACTGAACAAGCCCAGAAATACTCTGGGCTAGAAATATTCTTGACTGCTTCACTACTTTCACTTTAATTCTGTGTGTTTATAAACTTGTTAACTCCATTCAAATACCACATTATTATTATTGTTACTATTATTATTATTGTTGTTGTTATTGTTATTTTTTTTGGTTTTACGAGACAGGGTTTCTCTGTATTGTTTTGGAGGCTGTCGGTCCAGCCTGGCCTCGAACTCACAGAGATCCACCTGTGAGTGCTGGGATTAAAGGCGTGCACCACCACCGCCCGGCTTTATTATTGTTATTATTATTGCAGTGTTCTGCCTGCATATATGCCTGCACACAAGAAGAGGGCACCAGATCTCACTATAGATGGTTGTGAGTCACCATGTGATTGTTGGGAATTGAACTCAGGACCTCTGGAAGAACTGCCAAAGCTCTTAATTGCTGAGCCATCTCTCCAGCTCCTGCTTTTTGTTCTTTAACTGAGTATTTTTAATTTATTAATATCTGCAGAAAACATGTGGATTGGGGAAAGTTGGAGGGGTTTATTGGCCACTGAGTGAGAATTTGACTTGTGAGAGAAGGGAAAGCTACAGGCATAAAGGTCAGCCTGTAAGGGTGTTTGCCACCGAGCTGATGGCTTGCTTTCTTAGCTGGAGCATGGTAGGAGCAGGGAGCTGGCTGCTACAAGTTGCCTTCTGATCTCAGTGGAGCACAGTGCTGTGTGCATCACCCCTTCAGTAGATGATTGAAAAGACTTTGCTTTATCCCTAGTTGATTTCTGATTTAATAATTAGATGCAAAGGGTGAACAGAAAGAAGAATCTGCGGTGCTAGTAGCACAGCTAAATCTTTATTCCTGCTAGAGACATGGATGTGACCTATCCTTTGGAATTTTGTTGGCGATTACTGTATTTCTTAAGAAAATAAAAGGAGGCTCATAGTCGCATGAACTTCAGCTTGCCTTAGAGTTAAGAGAAGAATGTGAAACCAAACACGTTAGGCTGGAATTCCACCAAGGTTTTCCTCCATAAGATTTGAGGTATATCTGAAATGTTTATTCAATGTGATAATTCATATAGTTTAAACTGTCATTTACTTAAAATGCTGATACTGGGATTCGGGAGATGCCAGTTATTTTAAAGAGCTGGACAGACTTTGGCAGTGCAGGTATGGGCTGTCCATCCAGGTCAGTGGATCTTGGTTTTAATTTGGTTTGGCGTCTTCTCCCCTCTTTGAGATAGAATCTACTACAGGCTGGCCCTGAACATGTATCTTCCTGCAACTCCCTCCCAAGTGCTAGGATTACAGACATGCACAGTTGTACACTCAGTGGTGAGATCTTGAGGTGGCGTTTAGTGATAGTGTCTGTTAAACATCATGGTTGTAAAGACATAATCAAGCAGTGCATGCCATGCCATGTCTGGCACCGACTGTCGAATCCTAAATGTCAGCTGCTCTTCTGCTGTTGTTTTATATGTGAGAGGTGAGGCAAAGAGAAAACCTAGAGCAGTGGTTCTCAGCCTTCCCAATGCTGCAGCCCTTCAGTGCATCTCTTCATGCTGTAGTGACCCCCATCCATAGAATTACTTTTGTTGCTACTTCATAACTGTAACTTTGCTACTGTAACATAAACATTTGTGTTTTCCAGTGGTCTTGGGTGGCCCCTGTGAAAGCGTTCTTTGAACCCAGTTGAGAAACGCTGCTCTAGGCAACTTGCCCAAAATCATACTTGAATACTAAAAATCCATTTCTTCTAAGATACTTGTGATAAACATTTGGAAAAAAGATGGATAGTCTTTCATTTATTATTATGAAAAAGTGAATATTTTCAGAGTAACATCTCTAATAACAGTAACATTTTGTTTTCTTGTAGGATCTGGAGTTTCATGGAGTCATGAGATTTTATTTTCAAGATAAAGCTGCTGGAAACTTTGCAACAAAGTGCATTCGGGTATCTAGCACGGCAACTACTCAAGATGTGATTGAAACACTGGCAGAGAAGTTCCGCCCTGATATGCGCATGCTGTCCTCTCCCAAGTATTCTCTCTATGAAGTGCATGTCAGTGGAGGTCAGTGGAGGCTGTGTCCTGACTTGGGGCCAGTAGTTTGTGCAGTGTGATAATCAGGTTCCAGGGTTACTGTTCATCTCCTTTTCTTTCCTCCACCCAACAGAGGGATTATCAGGATGGCAACCTTTTTTAAGACTGAGAAGCAGTCAAGTCCTTGCACATAACATTTATTAAAAGTTAAGATAAATGTATTTTATATATGATTATTTCTTTAAATAAGTACCATTAAAATTTTCACCCAGCATATCTGAATGTCTTGTATATCAATGGTATTGTATGCTACATGCGTTTGTAGGAAATCTCGAGTATAGATGATGATGTCATGATTACTTACAACTCAGTTAAATATTGTGTATATCAAGTCAGTGATCTTGCCATAATATTTTTACATTCTGTCAACAGCACTTGTGGAAACAATAGGGCATCTTGAGAAATCTCCTTATATATTTTATAACTTGTACTTACTTTAACATTAGTAGTTGTGTGAGACATGAACACATATTTACTCACCCCAGATAGAGAATCAACAATAGTCCAACTTGTTGAGCCCCTGAGTTTTTTGGGAGTTACTTAGAGGACTATGAGGAGAAATGACCCAAAGACAGCTGTGTTACAAAAAGCTTATTCCAGCATGTATGACGACTCTTGAAAACGGAAACCCTGGAGCACACCACACATCTCAACAAACCAGAGTGAAACTGCTCTCTGCCTCTTCTGCATAGCGTCTGAGAGTGTCCCTCTGCAGTCCTTACTGCTGTGTGTGTTTGTGGAGGCAGGGGGCCTAAAGAGTCAGGTCAGTTTTAGGGACTTCCTTCCTGAGCTCAAGGCCCTTTCTTGTAGGGATGGAATGTCTGACTTCCCTTTAGCAGACTCTTTTGTCTTAATGTGCTTTCTTCCAAGATGGAGGTTTTCTCTCCTAGGAAATTGTTAATTAAGAAAAGTGTCTTGCAACTTGATACCACAAGTTAGGTTGACTAGAAATACAGAAATGTAAACATTTTATAGCTCCTTTTAGAAATGTGTCAAGTACAACAAATACAGCTAAAAAGGGCTATATATGGCACAACCCCAGTTTCAGTACCTCTTAATTTTAAGCTATGAAGTTTTTTAAAACAACAGATTTTTCTTCATTTTTATGTAGACAGCTTTCTTTGTAAATTTAAAATAAGACCGAAATGTCTTTGATACTTGGGATTTTCAAGAGTTATAAACACCCTTTTTCAGGAATGTATAATAATGGTCCATATTTGTTCATTACTTTATGATTATAAGCTTCTTCCCTGCATAAAGTCAGAGAGTGTTCTCAGTTCAGGGTAATTTTCTTTCATCTGCAAATCTCTAAAACAAGGTTACCAAGGAAAGAAACCAGTGTTCAGTCTGTACCGCTTGGTTATTGTAATTCCACCACTAAGGGCCTTGGGATAATAGGAGAGATTAGAATTTGAGTTCTGAAAATACAGTTTTGATTAAAACAAAACAAAACAAAAAACCAAAAAGGCAAAAAAAAAAAAAAAACCCAAAAACCCCTCCTTTCATGTGTTCCTCCTTATCTTCTTTCTCTTTGTTTCCCGTTGGCTTCGTGCTGTGGATCAAAGCCAGGACTGAGTATGATAGGCAAGCTGTCTACCACAGAGCTAGCTACATTTCTAGCCTCTGTGTCAGTAATGTTTGAGTGGTGTATCACTAGGCCAAAAGGAATACATGGTGCTTCCATGTATTATGTAGATTCAGATAGTGTTTAACAAAGGCTTGGGCAGCTTTTTAAAAAATAGTACATATGAATGAAAGGAAAACTAAACTTTGTATTTCATTCTTGATTGCAACGGCTGCTCATGAGAGTTGTGCCTTCTGACCCGGTGAGCTTCTCTGACACAGCACTTTCTTTTGCAGCAGACTGTTACCGACCAGGAGCCCACTTGGAGTCAGGGGTTCTTAGTGTCTGGCAGGTATATCTGCTCTACTTACACATTCCAGAGCTCCTCCGTGGCCCATTCTCCCTGGGCACCCCTTCATGCCTGTTTTCTTTTGTTGGCTGAAGTCCAGGTCCAACCCCTGCTTCAATCATTAGGAAATCTCATACTTGATTATTTGTTTAATATTATTGGGGCAGGAGGCACATGCCATGGTCTGTGTACGTCTGGAGGTCAGAGGACAATTTCACTGAAGGGAAGGCTACTACATCCATTACTTGACAGATATGGGCATGTTGCCATTTCTTGATAACAATCTGGTGAATCAGTGGGATTGTATGTACCATTAACATGATTTCCTTATTTTCTAGTTGCATATGGGATACGCATCTCTTTAGTTTTCTCAATTAGATCAGAAGAAAGCAAGTGTTCTTTCCTGGTCAGTGTCTGGCCCTGGACCTGTGGTGACGAGCACATTCACTAGCAACAACATATCCAACTAATCAAAACTGATTTAATATTCTTCACAATACATTTCACCTGGCCAGTGTCTAGCATGGTAGAATAGTAGCAGCAAGGTGCTGAACCAATTAAAACTGATGAACAATGGTAAACAATATGTCTCAATCTATCAGCAGGTAATTGGGAGACTAAAGTACTTCATGTGCATAAATACTGCACTCATGCCATGAAATGACCACGGCTTGTTCTTTTTTTCCATTTCATGTTTTGAAGAAGAAAGAAGATTAGACATTGATGAGAAACCTCTAGTTGTACAGTTGAACTGGAACAAAGATGATCGGGAAGGTAGATTCGTCCTTAAGAATGAGAATGACGCCATTCCAGCCAAGGTGGGAACAGTCCCCAAGTCTGATGCCAGCTGCAGTCCAGGGCTGGGTGTCTGGACAGGTTTATGTTCTGCCGTGGGAACTTGTCTATGCTTTCATCCTGTCGTCCTTCCCTCCTAGAACACACTTAAGAAGCAGATGTTTTTACCTGAGTCACCTTTATTTCCCTTGGTCACCCAGTCGTCATTCTTTGATGTTTCAAAGAAGAGCTCTGTGTGCTTTGGAGGAAAAGCTGATGATGAACTTGTCATATCCAAGTTCTAAGATCAGAATTGTTCCTGTAGGAGATAAAAGGGATGGAATGTTGGGTACCTACTTTCATGTGCAGCTTCCTAAGCCACAATTTAAAGCGTTTCCATACCACATGGGTAAGATTAGGAGTCAGGAAACCTCGTGGGCTTCTTTGGGTGCTGTAATGGGCTGTGTCTCAGTTGCTCTTCTGTTGCTGGGATAAGATACCCTGACAAAGGCAACTTAAAGGAGAAAGGGACAGTTGGATGGGGCAGTCCTGGTGGCAGGAGCTGGGGACTGCTCATCATACTCCCTTGATGTGACTTCAAAGTGTAGTTCTGTGCTGAATTGAGTGGCGTATTGTGCACTATTTTGGTGTTAACAAGTGGTAGCAAATACTGAGGCGGAAAATACCTTTTAATTTTCCCTTTGTGAAAACACTGTTACTGTATAGCAGCAAGGAGCTTCCTGGTGTCTTGTGTCCATATTGTGTGCTGTCCTGGATAGCTACACAGATGTGCTCTTGGCTTTCCTCATGGGTGGGTTCTTGCGGCTGACACGTGTACAGTAGAATGGGCCCATGGCTTTACTGTTCATGCTTGATACCCTGACTTCATCTGGCATGAATGACTCCCTTCTGTTTGCTTAATACTGTTCTTTTTTCATTCTCCTTGTAACTACATAGGTTTTTTTCCATACCATACCATAACTATTTTTTTCTTCTTTATGTATTAAACTACTTAAAAGCAATGTAGTTTTGTGTGTTAACAGGCCAAGTTTGTAGGTTGAAAATTCAAACTAAGAAAAGCAGCTAATAAACAAGGTATGGAAAATAAGTCAAGACATTTTTCAGAAACAGGTACAACTTTGGTTCAGGAAAACCAGCTTGTAACTACTGCTGACATTTCGTTTGCAGCTGAAAAAATACTCATTCAGTAGACTCTCACCTGCATATTTTCACTAGATCCCTTTCTCTCAGGTTACTTTATAGTAACTTTTTTGAGATATTTTTTGGATTTGTACCCTATTTTCTTTTTTTTAAATGTACCTGTTTTCTATGTGAATTTGGGTTTTTGTTTTCTTGTTTTTTAAGTTGAGGGGTTTGCAGTGAAGTGTGTGCCCCTTGAGTGTGCAGTCACTTGGTTGTGAGAGATTGTACATGTCACTTTCAGTTTAGTCAGGCTATGAAGTGTCCCCTCCTCAGCCCTTACTGTTGGAGTGTGTGCACATGTTTGGCTTGTGAGGTGAAGGCAGCCGCAAAGCCCGGGCATGGCTAGTGAGCTAATGATGCTCCTTTTACCAGAAGGCTCAGAGTAATGGACCCGAGAAGCAGGACAAGGAAGGCGTTATCCAGAACTTCAAGAGAACTCTCTCAAAGAAAGAAAAGAAGGAAAAAAAGAAGAGGGAAAAAGAGGCATTGAGACAAGCCTCTGATAAGGAAGAAAGGCCTTCTCAAGGGGATGACAGGTAGGTCTTTCTGGAAATAGTTTGGTCACTCACTGCGTGTGCTACAAACCAGGTGTGTATAATACAGCAAACTTGACTCAATTACGGGTAAACGATGGCAGAGCTGAGTGAGACTGCCAGGCTAATCAGGAACTGAAGTCCTTCCATGTATAGCAGGTATCAAGTGGGGAAGGACTCCTCTTTTTAGGTATATATTAGTTAACATTGTTTTTCCTGAGCAGACCAGCAAACTCAGTTGTCCCTATGTCTTCAGCTAGTCTTTTGAAACTCTTGTTTGTGCTTTTGGTCCCAGAGGCAATTGTGGTTCCTTATTTAGCTCCTATAAACTGACCAGAGTTGGCAGGGCTAGGTAGTCAAGCAGATTTTTTTTTCCCTTTTAAATTTGGATGCTCCTTGGGCATTCCTGTCGTGTCGCAAAAGCCCCATTGTAGATGTAGCCTCTGATGAGGTGATACCTGTGTAGCTGATTGTGAAGAGAAAAAGTTTGCATGGAAATACTGGAAAGCATCCTAGAAAAGGAGAGTTTAAACATGATACTTTGTGGCTTGTTTCTTTCCTTGGTTTATTTTATGAGAGGTATATTATTTGCTTTAGAAGATGAACTATTTCAAAGTGTGACTTTTTTGAAATAAATTATTTTATGACTACATGTTGATTACAACTATGTTGATATTGTTAGAGTTTATTTAAGTATTTAATATTTAAGGTTTTTTCCCCATCATACCTTATATTCAGTTTCTACCCATCATTTTGTATAGTTGATTTCCTCTGCAGAAAATTTTGGAGCAGTATCCCTAAGAAAATTTAGTTTCAGGAAATTTTGTTGAATCTTTTAGGTGTTAAAAACAGTCATGCAGCTGGGTGGTGGCGGTACATGCCTTTAATCCTAGCACTCAGGAGGCACAGGCAGGTGAATCTATGTGAGTTTGAGGACAGGCTGGTCTAAAAATTGAGTTCCAGGACAGCCAGGGCTCCACAGAGAAATCCTGTCTCAAAAAAAAAAAAAAAAAAAAAAGAAACAAACCCCAGAACAACAACAGAAACCCCAAAATAACTATGCTATTTAATTTATATTCTTCAAGATTTCCTGTTATTTTAAGTAAGGTTCTTAAATATTGCTTCTTAAACTTGAAATGCTGTGCTGTAATATCATTTGTTAGGTTTTAGCATAATGCTGCTAAGAAACTGAAACATATTGTATACATCTTTTGCTTTTTTCATTTGTACATGACAGTTAACTTGTAAACTTATAAAGTTTTACTTACAGATTTCTTAGTCTATTAGTTTCTATTTGAGAGAAACTGTGTATGGTTTGTTTTGCTGTTTTTTGAGACAGGGTTTCTCTGTGTAGCTCTAGCTGTCCTGGAGCTCCCTCACTCTGTAGACCAGACTGGCTTCAAACTTACAGAGATCTACCTGCCTCTGCCTCCCGAGGTGTGTGCCCACATGACCAGGCTGAGAAAACTGTACTTTTAATTTCATGGTAATTGGCACATGGTGGCTAGTAAACAAAAATCAACAGACTTACAAGGGGGCGGGTGTAGATAGATATTTGCCATTGTGCTATTTGTATTTCTAAGAGGAAAAAAGTTAAAATATTGTTGGTGATCTCTTTTCTTGCAGTGAGAATTCTCGACTGGCTGCTGAAGTTTACAAAGATATGCCTGAAACCAGCTTTACGCGAACAATTTCTAACCCTGAGGTGGTTATGAAACGGCGGCGGCAGCAAAAGCTTGAAAAGAGAATGCAAGAGTTTCGGAGCTCAGATGGGCGGCCTGACTCAGGTACAGAGAGAATTGTCTTTCTCCATATTCATTGTAAAAGGTATTCAGTTACACTTTTGTATATGTACTTCTAAAACTAAAAAAGTAGGTGAAGTTGCCTCTTAGTAGCAAATGTATCCTATGTATGTCTTACATAGAATTATTCTCACTTAGAGACAGCGTTAGTCGCATGTCCTTACCAGCATGGCTCTTCTCCCCTACCCCCTCAACCCAGAAAGTGCTAGACATATACAGAAGACAAGACAGATAATTACCACAATTTTTATTAACTCATTCTTCTCTTTCATTACGCATTGCCCTATGAAAAGTCACTGGGTATTTCTACCCAGTATGCCAGACAAAGACTTACAGCCATTATTAAGAGAAAAGGACCAGCATTGTGGTATGTACGTACACTCAGTTTCAGGAGACTGAGGCAGGAGGATTGTTTGAGGCCAACCTAACTACATAATTAGACTATCTCAAAAATAAAAACTGATCTTTTGCTAAGAACACTTCCTTTTTTATAAGGTTGTAAATAGTAAAGAAAATAGTCTCCTAAAGATTCAAGTACTTGAGCCTGTAACTTAGTACCTCCTCAGTGTGTTTCAAGTCCAAAAGTACATTGGTTTAGGAAGTTCTGCCAGCATAGTGGCTCATGCCTATAATCCCAGCACCTGGAAGCCTGAGGCAAGAGGATTGCTACAAGTCTCTGAGGTCAGCCTGGGCTATGGTTCCAGGCTAGTCTGGGCTACAGACTACGACCACATCTCAAAGCCAAAGAGAATGAGCAAAGGAAAAAAAAGTCCCCAGGACAAGGAGGAGAAGTAGCAGAAAATCAAAGCAGAACTTGCCTACCAAAGGAATGAATGTTACCCAAGAAACTCCAGTAAACTAAATATGATTAGGAAAGTAGCTGTTTACTAAGGACGCCAACAATTCAATGTTTTTGTCAGCTTTTTGAAAAAAGATTTATAGTAGTGTGTGTGTGCATTTGCACATGTGTGTGCTGCCATCTGGAAGCCAGGAGAGGGAGTTGGTGTCTGCAGAGGTCTGAGCTACCCATGTAGTCTGGGAAATGAACCTAGGTCCTCCGAAACCGCTTTAATAAATCCCTGAGAAAAGTGTACCCCAATAGCCTGCCTATTATGGCTGCGTGCTAGTCTTTGAGACTGGGGACAGAGCATGCCGGGTACCTACCACCACTTGTCTGAGCATGATGAGAGAGGCTATAGTTTTCCTAGGATTTGCACTCAAAGTTTTAATGATGCAACTCTCCTATTCTTAGCTGTGTTTTGGAGTCTGATCAGGTAACCAGGCTCACACAGGCTTTGCTCCTGAACTTGTAAAGCATTTGTAAACAACACCTTTAAATAACAGATATATTCCCTTTCTAGGATGTTGTCAAAAAGTGCCTGATGTATTTCAGTTAGTTGAGTTGACTTTTAAAATTGCAGTTTCCTTGCTGATTTTACCTTGTGTTGCTGACTCTCCTATTTGTTTTAAATTTTACTTATTGACTTTGTATTTGCACATGTGAGTGCAGGTGCACACATACACATGTGACAACCCCGAGGAGTTGTTTCTCTCCTGCTACTATGTAGAATCTGGAGGTTGAACTTGGACAAGGTCATTAGGTTTGTTTGCAGTGTCTCTACCACTGAGCCGTCTCACCAGCCCATGACACTCTTGCTGTTTTACAGTGCTGTCTTTTTCTTCTACTTCCTGAATTGACTTCTTTCCTTCATTCATCTGCTTGTTTGTTTCCTCTTGAAGCCACTAATTATTCTTCTGAGTAGACCTTTGATGTCCAGTACTTCAGTCATTTCATTATTTGCAGATTTAGTAATTGAGGAGTTACAGGCGTTTGTAGGCAGTGTGTTGTTCTATTTTTCTATTTCTTGTGTTTCTGTTCTGCAGTTTGCAGACACATTAGTGTGGTTCAGGGATTCTTCTTTCTTCTCTCTTCTTTCTGTTGTTGTTGTTGAGACAGGGTCTTACTCTGTAGTTCTGACTGTCCTGGAACTTACTATGTAGACCAAGATGGTTTTGAACTCACAGATTCACCTGCCTTTGCTTCCTGAGTGCTGGGACTTGGAGCACAAATTCTAATTAGTTTTAATAATAAAAACTCAGTCAGCTATGGGGGGGGGTGAAAGCTGAAGAATCAGAAAAGCAGAGCATCCAACCCCACTACAGCTCTATCTCTGTCAGTGCTCAGACTGAATGCCATGAGATCCTGTCTCCTCCTACCTTGTATTCCTCTCTTCGCCCAGCCATATCCCTTCCTGTGTCCTCCTCCTCAGTATGGGGATTAAAGGTTTGTGACTCCAAAGTACTAATATTAAAGGTGTGAGCCACCATTGCCTGGCTGTTTCTCTTTTAGATTGCATCAGTTTTGTGTAGCCCAGGGTGGCCTTGAACTAACAGAGATGTCTGCCTCTGTCTCTCAAGTGCTGGGTTTAAAGGTGTGTGCCACCACTGCCTGGCCTCTATGGCTAACTAGTAGCTTAGTTCTGCACTTTGTTAGATCATAAACAAATGTCACCACAGTGAGTAAAGGCTTGTGTCATCATATCTGGCTTGGTTCAGGGTTTCTTAATCTTAATAGGAAAGAAATTATGAGAGTCAAATTGACAATAATGTGGTATATATCTATTCCACTAAGAAGGGAACATAGAAACAACAGAACACCTGAGGAAATCCAGATTGCCCTTCCTATCTCTAGACCCCTTCAAAGACTATACCTTCACACACCGTTTAGCTTACAGTGCCTAGGATTGGAATAGCCCCACCATGGTGGCAGATCCCTCATGGAAGTCTTTGGCCTTGAGTACCTGAGGTCTTCTGGTTCCTAGCTCACTTTTGAAACATTGAGTTGTTAAGTGGATCTAATGCTTTGCTTCAGGTGAAAGTTTAAAAAGTCGAAGTGGAGGGAATGGTCTTGTGGGGTAGAGGTGGCTAAGGGAAAGTTGAGCAGTAGATGAGAACTGTACCACAGACTTACTCCGGGCCCTTCATCCCCACTTCTGGGCAGTAGAAGCCAGCCCCAGGTTGGTACTGATGGATTTGTACCACTGTAGTTGGGACTTCAGTGCCCTTTTTATAAGTGATTGTGACTGTTAGCAGCTTCTGTCATTGACTTTAAATGAAGATGAAATCAAAGATGTAAAAACATTTTTTTCCAGGTGGAACATTGAGAATATATGCAGACAGTTTAAAACCAAATATTCCATACAAGACAATCCTGCTGTCTACTACAGACTCTGCAGACTTTGCTGTGGCGGAATCTCTGGAGAAGTATGGTCTAGAAAAAGAGAGTCCCAAGGACTACTGCATTGCCCGGGTATGGACTGTGATCAGTACTATTCATGCTAAGACTGTGGTGTGTGTGTGTGTGTGTGTGTGTGTGTGTGTGTGTGTGTGTGTGTGTGTGTGTGTGTGTGTGTTCACTCCCATGCATAACCCCCTCCATTTACAAACACAAGAATAATAAGTAAACGTGATGAAAAGTAATGAATGTTCTAAGATAAATTGAATAAAACATAGCCCAAAGTTGTTCTAACAAAAGATAACGTCATCATTAACATCTTGATAGACACTCTTCCAATTTATTTTGTACATATATTGTATGAGTCAGAGTTGCAGAAGAGTACAACCAGTTTATATGTGTGCAGTATCACAGTGCTGCATGTTGGAGATACAGAGAACCTGGTGGCTGTTCAGTCTAAGATGTGGGGATCTGTATACATGGAGGATTCAGGAATGCAGCCCCAGTTTGAAGAAGGTCTGAGAGCTCTCTGGAGAGTCCCTGCTCTGATCTTGTGTTGGAAGATTTGAAGAAGCTCAGGTGGTTTGTCCACAGGCAGTGACTGCAGTGATAGAAGCTTCTGTCCACAGAGTGGGGCTTGCATGTGCTGTCTGCTTTCTTCCTCTTCGTTTTGTTTCATCCGAGCCCCCAACCTGTTGGCACCACACTGGGGCTGATCTTTCCCACATCAGTTGGTAGGTCGGCCAACATTGAAAATGCACTTACAGCTTACTCAGGGGTGTGTTTACTCATCTCTCAGTCCAGTAAGTTGACATTCAGGATCAGCCATCAGAGGTAACATAATTGTATTTATAGTAAAATCTGATTTAACAGTCACCTGCAGCTCTTCAGAGGTACTCTACCTACTTATGACTCTAGTTATCAAGGAGTATAGTGATTGTTTATATCCTAAAATTGATTTTGTAACATTAAGTAAAATGCAGCAGATTTTCTATTTAGCCATGAACTAATTAGAAATTCTTAACTTCTGAGCCAGTTGTAATTATATACTTAATTATTGCAGTATGTTTGTCAGTAGTTTTGTCTTGCTTTGGAAGGAAGGGTTATTCTGGCTCGTGGTGGAGGGTGCGGCCCTTGCAGTAGGAATGTGTGCAGCTGGAGTGTGAGGCAGCTTGTCACATTTTACCCATGGTGAGGCAGAGAAAGAAATGAATCCTAACAGATTTCAAAACAAAGATGGCACTGTGTTTTATTACAGCAAGTGATTTTAGAAAGAAAATACATTGTGTATGTGAGAGAGAATGGAGGCTGGACTGACTTTGGTGTCTGTGTTTGTCGCTCCCACCGTTGTGAGCAGGCTTTCTCTTTATGAACCTGGAGCTACTGTCTCAGCTAGACCAGCTCATGGGCTTCAGGATCCTGTCTCCTCTGCCCCAGCACTGACGCTACAGACATGTGCCTGTTGTTCTGTCTTAATATTTTTATTCTTTAAGCATTTTCTTGAATGCATATAATGTAGTTTGATCATATTCACCTCCCTGAGCCCACTCTCTCTTCTAACTCCTTCCAGATCCCCACCCCCTCTTGATCTTATGTTCCTGCTTTTTATTTATTTCCAAATAGCCCACTTGGTTCAATTTGTGCTTCAGATACATTTATTCATGGGTGTGGAGCTATTAACTAAGCATTATCAGTCTACCAGGGATCATTTCCTACACTCCGTCTCCCTCCTCCAGAGCCATCCACTGTCCATAGCTCATTAGCCAGGGATGGGGCTTGGTATGGAAGTATTGACTGGTCCCAACTGATGCTGGTCTTGTGCAGGCTCCACCAGTTCCTGGTGAGTTCCTGAGTGTGGTGGTCCTGTTCTATTCAGAAGACACCCTTTCAGGGGCCATTACCCATTGAGCTGACCCATTCCTTATCATCTTTATTCTAGTTTCCATATTTAGATCAGCGTACTCATTTTAAGCTAGTATTTATTTTGATTTTTTTCTTTTTATTGGGACGCCCAGTTGATGTAGCAGCATTGCAGAAAGGTTTTGCTTCCTCCCTGTGAATGCTTTGTTCAGTCACTTGCTTGACTGTTGGGGCGGGGGGCAGTTTGTGCACTCTGCTCTTTATTGATCTGCACATCTCTTTGACCTGGACTGTAAGTGTCTAACATTTGAAATTTGGCATTTGTTCCATTGTTTGACAAAGGGAAATTTTTATATAAATCTGATACTAATATTCTGTGGAACTACATGGTTTGGTCTATGGTAATAAACTTTAACATTTCCATCTTAAACTAAGTGACTTGTTTTTACTGTTAAAATGAGAATGTAAAGTAACCATTTTCTCAGGGACCTAGAGTTACAGAAGCAGACTATGAGCTTTATTGACAGTCTTTTTGAGCTTGATTTCTACAGAGGTGCTCCTTTACTTCCCATCTTTTGATCTAGTCAGCCAGCTTTCTTCAGCAAGCTTAGGCAGCCTAGTTAATATTTACCTGAATTAGAAATGCATTATATTCTCAGCTTGCCATAGTAAACTATAGCTGTTTCATAATCTTTATTAATTTTAAATATTCAGATAATTATTTGTTAAGTATTTAAGGTCTTCTTTTCTGTTTGTTAGGTATTCTGCTAGTTAAGAGCTGCCCCTGCGAGAGTTTATAATAGTGGAGGGAGCCCAAAAGGCAGGAAGTAGAACAGCAATGGGGTCTTCATACTAGAGAGTGGTCTGTGATGCATGAAGCATGTGGCCTGGTCGGTGAGCTCTTAGTAACACCCATGCATCTAAAAAAAATGTGGCCTAAAAAATGAGTGACACAGATAGAGACAAAAGAGAAAATTGAAGGTCAAGTCTTGACGTGGTAGAATATTGAATTTAATTAAAAATACTAATAAAAAAAGATGAGGTTAGCTTAGGGATATTATTCCCTTTCCTTTAAAACTAATTGAAAGACTTGTGGAGAGGAGCAATAGATTTCTACAGAATTGTTTTGTCTGTAAGCACAATAATAGGTTTGCACACTAAGATCTGTTGTGTTAAGTTGAAAGCAGTACCTTGGCTTCTTGTGTTTCTTCACACTGAATCAGAGTGAAGAGTGTAAGCCGGCAGTGTCTGTAAGGCATCAATCCCATTCCTCTCCATGCACTCCTCGTGGGCGAATAAGACGCTGACTATAGTAAAGATGCATAGTAAACAGGAGCAGCATTCTTAAGAGTACAGTGAACACAGTATCTTCAAACAGTTGCCTGGAAATAGTTGTTGAGTGGTTATGTAATGTACCTAAACAGTCTGCTTAAATTACACTGTACAGTTACCATAATAAAAACTGTCTTGAGTTGTAAGTACATTAAAGATTTCAGATTTTATAAATTTGCTTTATAAATATTTGCTTGATTGTGAAAGATGGAGTAGGGACTGGGCTGCAGGGGACTGCAGTAAAGGAGTTCTCTTTCCTTAAGAAATTGCTTGAAGGTTAACTATTCTATGGTTTTTCCACGTGATAATTTGTTTGAAACCATTTCCTATACTTTGTTAATTCTTTTTTTCTTTTCAGTGATCAATGGCCATTATGTATAGTGCTTGATGAGGTTTTTGTTTGTTTGTTTGTTCAGCTCTTTCAGAGCAGTGCTTTCAAGATAGATACAGGACTGTACCAGTCCTCAGGAAGCAGGGAGGTCATAAGTTTGAGGCCAGCCTGGACCAGAGAGTCAGACCAAAAATAGCAACAGTCCTTCTTTTGAGTCCTTGCTGATTTGCTTTTGTATTCATTGTATTGTTAATTATCTTTTCATTAGGTTATGCTTCCTCCTGGAGCCCAGCATTCTGATGAAAGAGGTGCTAAGGAAGTTATTCTTGATGATGATGAGTGTCCTTTGCAGATCTTCAGGGAATGGCCAAGTGACAAAGGTAGAGCTTAAACTTACTCTTCGGGGCTTCCTCAGTAGTCCACCTAATGAGAGAGAGGGGGAGGGGGTGGGTCACACTCAGCTCATCCGAGTGTCCTGTGCCGATGACATGGCAGGTGAGATGCCACACTACTAGCAGTGAAAGACCTTAGTTACTGATGAGCTGTCAAACAATGTCTGTACTGACCACATGAGTTAGGTGGTATTTGAGCAAGTTTGGTAGGACAGGAAAAGTACCCTATACCCGTTTTAGATATAGGCTGAGCAATCCTTAGTGGAAATACTCAGGACGCAGAAGTGGTTCAGATTCCAGAACTTTTGAGACCTGAGTGTGTGAAGATGGAAACACGTCTGAGCGTTACCTTCTTTTATGTTCACCTTACACACAGAGCTGCATATAATTTGATCCATAAGTTTTAATGTATTGGTGTTTGACCTGCTACCAAATTGTAGCATTTTGGACTTCAGGTGTTTGGTTTATGGATGCTCAACTTGTAATGCGTGCATATTTGTCCCTGTTCAGACATTTCCCTCTGTTTCAAAGCAGCAAAGTGTTTAAAATTGTGCTTTTGATGAAGTATAGTTTCTAGCATTAAGGTTGATACAGTTGACTTTCTAGGTGAGTGCCTTTATGTTAATGAAGACATAAAATCCTTGCTAGTCATATCTAATAATTATATAATATTCATACTGCATCTAGAGCGATAATTTAAAAACACAAAAACCCTAAGAATAATTACTAAAATACTTACTCTCCACTATTCTAGGCAGTTATAAAAGTTAAGCCTCATTTTGAAAGTGGTTTTGAATTTTGAGTTAATTCTTTTGGGTTAAATAAAAATCAGATCAGCTGAGATGTTTGCGTATGTGTATTTGTGTGAATGTTGATAGGTCTATCTACAACTGCAAGTTCATTTACTTGTAAACTAACCTGTTGTTTACTAGCATATTTTTCTCTTTAGTAGATTAAAAATAATTTCTGCACATTGTTTGTTAGAGACTAGACTAGTTCATCCTCCACTGAGTAAGTTAGTTATCAATTGGGTGAACTTTGCTCCTCTACTCTTTGGCAGATGTGATTAAAATACATCTTCTTGGTAATGTTTGGGCCAATGGTTGTCAGTCAGTGATCATCACCCACCAAGTTTGCTCCGTTGATAATTGCCATTGTCACCGTTCTAGGGATTTTAGTCTTTCAATTGAAGAGGAGGCCACCGGACTATATCCCAAAGAAAATGAAGAAGCATGTTGAAGGGAAGCCGCTGAAGGGGAAGGATAGGGTCGACGGGTCTGGCTATGGTTCTACTCTTCCTCCTGAGAAACTGCCCTACTTAGTAGAGTTAAGTCCAGGTGAGAAAATTGGCCATGTCAGGAAATAAATGTTTTTAGCTGAAATGTTTCTACTTTCTAATGTATTATTTTTAAGTATCCATTTACTTAAGAAGTGTAACATTCATAAAATGACAATATTTTTCAAAAAACCAAGAAAAAAAACCTTAGGTCACAGAATACATTAATTATACATGAACATAGAGAGTTCACGTGAACAAAAATGAATCTAACACAAGCTTTAAAGTATGAGTAACATTTAAAAGTTTTAGATAGCCAGTTACTTTTCAGAAAAATTTTCCGAAGTGTCTTTAGTTAATGTACTAAAACAAATTGAAATTTGCTCTTCCTGGCACCAGTCTGTGTGTATGTATGCGTATGAGGGAGAGAGATTGTACTGTTAATTATGATGTATGTACAGTGTTCAAAAGGAATGTCCTTAGATTTAATAGTATATCTTTGAAACTTATCTTAGTAACTAGTAGGGTGTTTTAGAATAACATCATAAATTTATATTCACATTAATCTTTTAATTATATTGCTTATAATATTTTTATAGCTAAGGGTCTTGCCATAACTTAGTCACCAGATAGGCAAGTACACTGACACTCTTTAAGTGTTCCATGTAACACACATCCCCATGTAGTATGTATTTGCATGTATGTGCTCTTCACGACATGTTTATCAGTCAGCTAAAGTTACATCATTTCTAGTTTAGTTAAGATGCTGTTATGTGACCTGTGTTATTGAATATGATGAAGTCACTTCATCTACCTCCTCCTAGTTGGGAACTAAAGTAAGAGCCATTAGTAGTTAGAGGAAACCAGCACAAAAAGAATACATTGCATAAATAATATATGGCTCCTTGGTCAGGCTTTTTCTTCCCTCCTGTAGGGGTGAGCCCCACAATGTTTAAGTTTGTATCAAATTTAAATCTTCTATTTAGACTAAAATGGGAATTGTAAGGGTGAGCCCCACAAAGCTATCCACCCTAAGGGTGGGGATAAGGAAATTTAGGACAGGTGGAGATAAAAGGAAGTGAAAGAGAAACGAATCCCTCTTCTTCTCCTCTCTTCCCCTGGAAGCCTGACACGCTTCTGACTCCCCAGCCTTTTGTGTGTAAGCTCTTATTCTGGTAAATAAATATATTATATTCCCTATTGCATTGACCTTCCACATTACCCTCCTTTGGTTTTTAATGTTCATTTTTATTTCTAAGGTTGCTTATGCTTCACCCAGCTGGCTATTATAATTAACTAGGGATTAGATATGTCTTTTGTGGTTCAGCAGTCTTAGGAGATAGCTGAGTTACATTGATGCAGAATATAATAGTAGTGCTTTGAAAGCCACTGTAATTTGTAGCCATCACAGTGTGGTTCTAGGGGAGTAGTTTTATTTTTAATTATGCTTGAGGACCTGTTTTCATTGCTGAGCAGTTTGTGAGGAATTGATCACTGCTGCTTTTTCCTTAGTTCTGTGACCAGGAAATTCATTTTGAAGTTTTGTTTTTCACTGTGAATTAGAACACCCTGTGTTAAGGAGCAATGGCAGAAACACCATTGGTTTTTACTGAGAATTTTAGGCTGCCTTTCAAGTATGGGTTCATTAAAATGTTGCATCAGAGCTGGTTGGTGATGTTGCACACTTTTAATCCCAACACAAGGCAGAGACAGGTGAATCTCTGTGAGCGTGAGGCCATTCTGGTCAATAAAGTGTCCCAGGACAGCCAGGTCTATACAGAGAAACTCTATCTTGGGGCGGGGGCGGTAATTGCATCAGTTGTAGAACTTATTTTTAACAGTTGAAGAGTCTTAGTTGTTAGCAGTTGATAGTGCTTTTTAAATGTATAGTAGAACATAGATAATGGTAGATAGCAGAGAGGCTGTATTAGACATCATTCTGGGCCTTAGAGATAGAATAATAACAACACAAGATTAAATCCAACCTCATCTTTTAATTAGTGCTTCCATTCTGACTGCTTAGTTTTTATTTGTCTCTCAGACAATCATATGCATATAATGTTTTTTTTTAAAAGATGATAGACTCTGAGTAAAGAGTAATTCTGTACTACTTTTCATCAAATACTACAACATAATTACATTTTCACTAGTATGTTTCTTAGCACTCTGTTACCTTTGGCAACATTTAATGAGACCCTTATATAGACTTGGATATGAGTAAGACTGTCTCTGATGCCAGGTGCACACAGGTCAGTGTCAGTGTCAGTGACTCTCCAGGCCCACACTCCCTTCCAAGTTCTCTGGACAGTTGGGAAGAACTGCCTTTATTATTGCACAGGTACCCAGGGTGAGGAAACATTGCTTTTATCCTAAAGGTAATGGTTTTGGTGGTAGGGCTGAGTGCTAGAAATAAGGTCTTTTTGCATCAGAACTATGCCATGATACCTTTTTAGATCAGATTGCTGAGTGAATAATGTTCCATTATGAGAAGTATTCATGTGTGCTGATATGTTGTGAGTGGATGAGGAATATATTTCCACTGGGCACATTCTCAATGTGGAAGACCTGCCAAGGAGTTTCTGAGTTGCTGGTATATTTACAGTGTTGTAGAAGAGTGGGAGTCGGTACTGACTTTCCTGTGTTCTTTGAGCAGAAGGAGCCAACCAAATGGGGTGGGAGTCTCCATTCAGGTTAACTCCTGTTAACACAAGCTGTCCTGCTGCCTGGTGACTCACCTGTTGTCCTGCTGTTTTCCTTAACAGTCTGCACAGGTTTCTAAAACACTGACTGGGCTCCACTGTAGTCTTTTCTACACAGCTCTCAGTGCTAGTGGGTAAAATCTGCCATTTCTTCCTTTGAAACATGTCACTGAAGCTCACCCTGTGCCTCTCTTCTCCTCCTTCCCTCTCTCACCTGTTCTGCATGGTCTCTCTCCTGCTGCTGCCGCCTTCACCTGGGCCCTGCCTTGTCCCTTAATCCCAGGGAGAAGGAGTCACTTTGCCTACTGCAGCTATCACACTTACGAAGGTAACGCTATGCTTAATACTACTTTTGTAATCGGGGCACTAACAACCTCTTAGGTAAACAATGTTGACCGAGCACACTACGTATAAGACGTGCAGCATGTTCTCTTTCTTTTTGTATCTACTTAGTGCCCTATGTCCAGCCCCAGGTAATTTATTGGAAGCTTTTCCTGCTGCTTTCATTTCCCAGGTTCATTTTGGGAAGTGAATGTAGGCAGAGGATTGACTAGAGACTGTAGAGACTGCAAACAAAGGGCCTCTAAGAGCTCTTGTGCTGTGTTTGGTTTGTGTCCCTTTCATACCTACAGGACAGGCTAAGCATCCCTCACTCCAAATTCCAAATGTCTTAAGTGCTGATGTGAAGACACACAGGGAAGCGCCTCTTGTAATGGGCATTCTAAATATGCTGGGTGCTGTTTCCTGTAGGCTGTGTGTTAAGGTGTATGTTAGTTGGTCATGGAATTCATGTTTAAAGGCAGGTTCTATCCCCAAGGTATGTGGTATATTAAATATATGTGAATAACACAAAATTTGGGGAGAAGTTACAATCTGAAACTTGGCTAGGGCTCTGGTAGCCTATTGTGTCTGGCCTGTAGTGCTTCAGATGTCATACTTTTCCTTGGAGAGGCAGCCAGGTGCTGTGGACAGTTGACTGTGTAGAGTGCTCCGTGGAGATGGGAGACAACTGGAATGGAGGTTGAGGGAGCACCCATACTACTCCTGTTTGTGCTCGTCGGCTTCCAGGCCAGCGCTGGAGGTGGCTGCCACTGGGAGGAAGTCAGAGGCACCGAGCTCTTCCAGCCGCCCTCACTTGCCACCTCCCTCAGCTTGGACTAGATGCTCTGTCATCCACTTGTCCTGTAGCTGTTAGATTCTCTGCACTCCATACAAATTTGTCTATGCATACAATCAAGTGGTAAGAAAGGAGAGACTGGGAAAGCAAGCCCTGACTCTGTTGGTATCAAAATGTCAAGTTTTTTTGTTTGTTTTGTTGTTGTTGTTGTTAGCTGCAGAAGAATGTGGGTGTGAACATTGCTCCTAACAGACATGTCTTTGGTGTTCCTGTGTCTTTGACTCACATGGCAACTTACTTTGTTCCTTTGTAATTCATATATGTTATTTGTGTGGCTGTGTTGTATTCTTTCACTTTTAGTATAACTGGTTGCTCTAGAACATTAATTATTAAGGAAAGCTAGTGTGGCCTACCTACCAAGGAGCTTGGAATTGTTGGGGGCCTGGTTTGTTAACTGCCCGTGACAGTCAAACACAGTAGTGAACATTCCAGGAGGAGAGGAGTCCACTTCCTGGAAAAGCCTACAAAGCTTTTGTTTTCTTCTTGAGACAGGGTCTTAACATGATGCTGGCTTTAGAAGTCTCTTCCTTCAGACTCCGTACACACAGTGCTGACATGAATCAAGCTAATCAATGTCTTTAATGTCTCCTTGGAGTCCAGAGTTTCTGTGAATAATTAGAGGTGAAAAGATTCCAACCCAAAGGAAAACAACATTGATAGGCCATTTGGGGAGGTCTCTGAGGCATGTATACTCGGACATAGTTCAGTTTCATCTTACTTCACCCAGATGTTCGATTTGATAATATTTCAGGAATGTAATATATCAGCACAATGATACTTTTTATACCATAAAACTAAAGTTGGTTCTAGAGAACTTAGGTGTTTATGGTGTCTTTTGTTTGTAAGAACTGAGAGATTTTAAGATTTAACAGTCTGTGTACACACCATAGTCCTCCAAACTTCTGAACTTCTCAATGCTAACATCTGATTCCAGTGACTGAATATTTGAGTAAATTATTGAAAATTACTTGGGCAGTCATGAAACAAACTGGGGAGACTCACACTTGCTTTCATAAGGAAGCCTTGCTTGGTGTGTTTGCAGCCTGTACTCAGTGTTGCAACTGTAATGGAAGCCTGGAATTGTATGTTAATTCTTAGGTTCTGTGAGGTGCATTTATCTTGTTGACTCTGAAGAAATACTATTACTACAGATGGGATACAGTGGGTGGGAGTGAGTGGGCTAGAGGCCAGCAATGCTGCTCCCTTTCCTGATCCTTACCCATCACAGAAAGTCAGGCCTGTGGTAGTTACCTCCATGTTTTCTTTAAAGGACACAGAGTTGGGTGGGTCCGGAAGCAGGGATAATCTGGATGAGTTGGTGGCATGAATATGATCAAAACGTGTGAAATCTCAAGGAACAAATTAAAAAAAATAAAAAGCTAAAGAGGATTCCCTTTCCACCTTTGACCCCAGTTTTTCTGAAGGAAGTTAAGCACTTATTTCAGTAGCATTTCTTATCAGTGGTACACCCTGGAGCACTTGAGATTTAGACTGTGATTCTGGAGGTCTGGGTGAGCTGGGAGGGTCGCACAGTTAAGGCATTGTAGTACTCACCTTGTATTGTGCTGCGAACTTAAGGGTGCATGGCACTTCTGCCCTGCGTTGAAGTAGTGGCTGATGTGGCCTTACTCTGTGTTCTCACTACAATTCCGTCTGCAGAGGCACAAAAGGAATTTCTAGGGTAGTGTGCTGGGGGAAAAAAGTTTAATTGGAAAGTGTTGGGATTAATGACAGCATTTTGTACAAACAGAAGCTAACTGGTGTCTGTGTCTGTGTGTTGCGGTGTATGATGTTAGTTGGAGAGTCCTGGGAGAGGAATTCTGAGAAGTAAAACTGTACTGTCCTTAGTAAAATGACTTGTTTGTTCCAAACACAAGGTCATTAGACCCCACAAACAGAGCCCAATGTCCTCTCTTCTCACAGATGGCTCTGACTCCAGAGACAAGCCAAAGTTATACCGCCTTCAATTAAGTGTGACTGAAGTCGGGACAGAGAAGTTCGATGACAATTCTATCCAGGTACTTGCTGCATAAGCCTTTTACTGTCATTCTTCCTATCAGTAGTCAATAGCACACGTCAAGGAACCAGCCTCATAAATGAATGAAAAGGATAGACCTTGTATTTAACTCTTAAGTCACTTTCTTCTGCTTTAGTATAGAGAGAACATGATGTTCTTGTGTCCAGAATGCACCTCCAGAAGTGTGTGCTGCTGCTGTAACATTCCTGTCTGCTTACTTCTGTTTAGGAAGCAACGGTGCTGGTAACAGTTGATAAGTCTGTCTTAGGATGACTGTGCCTGCTCTCAGTCAGCATTCCCTGAACATCTTAAGAACTTGAAGTAGGAATGTCAGCATTTGACGTTGGACTTGACTAAATCACCTTTGCTCTTTACTTATTATTTCTGTATAGTAGTAAAACGGTTGGGTTTGTAGCTCTGATTCATATGATTCATTAGTTCTTAACACAGTAAAATGTAAGTAAGGTTTTTTTAAAATAACAGTTTCCTCTATAGATTCATCTATTCATTGCATAGTTAGTGTTTAAGATGATATGCTTTGTGTGTATGTTGGGGTGGGATCCTGGGGTTGGAACCCAGCGTCTCATGGAAATTGCCAAGGACCATACTACTGAAGTACTTCCTGAGCCCCAGTCATATGATTAATAAAGCAGAGTTACAGTATGCTTGAAAAAAGTTGTTAGATGTTAAAAATGTCCAGCTATTTTGACATAGTTTTACACTATAAAAGAAATCCACTTAAGAAAACAAAAAATCCAGGGCTTGCTAGTCTGCATTTATCACGACAGAACTTGAATTTTTTTAAGCACTGTGTACTTGATGGTGGAACTGTCTTTTCCTTCTCTTTTCAGTTGTTTGGCCCAGGAATTCAGCCCCATCACTGTGACCTCACTAACATGGATGGAGTGGTCACTGTGACACCCAGAAGTGTGGATGCAGAGACGTACGTGGATGGCCAGCGCATCTCGGAGACGACCATGCTGCAGAGCGGCATGACAGTGCAGTTCGGCTCCTCACATGTGTTCAAGTTTGTGGACCCCATTCAGGACCACGCTCTTTCGAAGAGGTCTGTGGATGGAGGCCTGATGGTCAAGGGCCCAAGACATAAACCTGGGTGAGTGTGATAGACCAGCTTAAGGATTTTAGAGTGCTTTGGCTATAAAGTAATTTCAACTAGATGTACACGTTTTTTTATTTTCAGTTTTTATTGCATTGTTTAAAATTTTCTCTGTGTATTTGTGTGTGCATTTGTGTGTGCCTGTTCCTTTTCTGAAGGTGAGAGGATTTTTATAGGAGTGGGCTTTTTCTCCTGCCTGTGGATCACATTCAGGTTGTTACGCTGTCAAACCAGCAAGCACTTTTACTCACGCCCATTTTCCCCATCACTTATGTAAAACGAAGGGTCTGGTGATACACATGGCGTAGTGCTTAAGAGCAGTTGCTGTTCTTGCAGAGGACCCAGGGTGAGTCAGGCAGCTCTCAACTGTCCGTACTGCCAGTTCAGGGATTCTGCTGTGGGTCCTACACACATGTGTTGCACATACATAACATGCAGGCAAAACACCTATGTACAATAAAAATAAAACCTTTAAATACCAAAGTGAAGTTTATGGATTAGGAGTTTATTTTAAATTTGGATTGGTTTTGAAACAAAAAAAGATTCTGACATAATATTGACGTTGGAAGTTCTGCCAGTTGTATTAAAGTTTCTTACTTGTAAAGCTGACCTGTGATTTGAGCCATCACCCTACGTAACTAATAGGATTTAATAAACCGGATTTAAAAAACCGCCCTCCTCACTCTAGTAACACAAGGGGCTGTCGGGGAGGTGCATCTGTATAAGAATTCAGAACATTTTAGCTCCACCTAGTGTTTTCATGAGGTCTTGTAATGTGGTCTGTTATGTTAAACCTTTTTTTTTTTTTTTTTTTTTTGTGAAGAGTAACTTTTCTTTTGTCAATTATTTTGGAAGCATACATTGTTAAGCTACTTTGTTATCTATTGTATAAGTTAACAAGATACTGATTTTGGAGAAATGACTGCCATAACTCTTATGTTATTTACAAAAAACTTCTAAGTCCACGGAAGTGTAACCTGCCCAAAGAATATAAACATAGGCCAACCTACAAACTGGTGTGTGGGTGGACTCTCTGTGCTGCCCCACCTACATTTTGTTTGGTTTTTGTAACCCCAACTGGCCTGGAACTCAACTGTAGACCGGACTAGCCTCAAACTCACAGAGACCTAGTGTGTCATTGGTTACCTTCACAGATCTGACACTTTGGACCAGGTAGTACTATTCAGAGTTAATGGTTTTTTTCTTCAGTGTGGACACATAGTGACATGCACTCATTTAGGCAAAAGGGTGTTTGAAGTTCCAAGTGAAGTATATGAAGTGTTTCTACTTTCTCACTATGAGTTGCAGGGGTTTTTGTTTTGTTTTGTTTTTTTTTTGAGTCCAAGGTGACTTCGTACTGCCTTATACACCATCATGTTATGACCTTTAGCTGTAAGAATCATACATACCCTAGTACTCAGAACAGAACAATGACATATATGTATTCATTGGATCAAGACTGATAGGTAAATAATTCACATATCAGCGTATCATCACACTTCCTGAAGTACCCAAACTGATGGCTTAGAGACAGTTACACACAGAAAGTTAATGACCATTTAGTATGATATTGCTTATATTGCAAGATATTTCATGTTCTTAGAGAATTATATAGAGGAATTTCTAATAGAAAAATGATTTGAATTTCAACATTGCTTACTTGTTTCAGTCTAGCACTCAAACTTTGAAATTAAACCATGTAGTTCTCAGATGCTAGAGCAATCCAGAAATAGCCATTGCCTTATTCTTGTTGGCTTGCAGGCACCTTTGGGACTCTTTTCTCCTTGGGTTGGAACCGGTGTGTTGCATGTGCTCCTCATCTGTGCCTGCCTCACCTTTGCTCCTATTGAAAACACGATTTTTATATTGAAATACGGTTTTTTTGTAGTATTTTAACGTTTTTATTTTCTTTATGTGTACAAATGTTTTGCTTACATGTATGCTTGTTTGATGCCTACAGAGGCCAGAAGAGTGTGTTAGATCCCCTAAAATTGGAGCTATAGATAGTTGTGCTGGTAATTGAATTCAGGTTCTTTACCAAGAACAGCAAGTACTCTTAACCATGGAGCTGTTTCTCCAGCCCCAGTTTTGGTTATTAACATGTGGTTTTAAAAACAGGGTCCAGGGCTGGAGAGATGGCTCAGCCGTTAAAGGCTAGGCTTACAACCAAAAATATAAAACGGGCCTGAGGATGCTTAGCATACTTCCTAATAAAAAAGTTCACATATTTAGTGTAGCTTTTTAAAAAAGTCTATATGCCAAAATAAATGAGTTTATTAATGAGCTTTGAATATTGGAATACTTAACCTACCTATTCTTGCTGTGTTAAGAGTACTACGTTGTCAGTTGAAATTTAATTTTTATGTTTCTTTTTCATTCAATAGAGCCATTCAGGAGACAACCTTTGATTTGGGAGGAGATATTCACAGTGGGACAGCATTGCCAGTAAGCAGGGTAGGTGGATACGGATTCATGACCTGACCATCTGTCTAGTGGATTGGATGTTATAGGAGCCCAACAACAAAAGCTCCTTTGTGAAGACCTCACAGTAGCCTTCTCTGCTGCGTCTGCTCACCTGGTGGTTCATAAATGAAAGGTAGCCAGTGTCCTTTGTTCTGAAGTCAGAAGACAGTGCTTTTTCTTTCAGTGGGGTGTGTGTTGCCTCTGCTGCTGCTGTGTAGGCAGCCTCTGGCCAGAGCATGCTGAGGGAGTGCGCCCTTGCTCCTTTGCGTCCCGTGGTGGCTCATTTCTCTGAGTAACTCTTCATTCCTGGATGTACAAGTCACTCCTCTCTTCATCTTGGTGATCCGTTCCTGGATTGCAGTCACCGTAAACTCCGTGAACTGAAACAGCAGCCACTTAATTTGTTGATAACGTGTGAACTGGGTTGAGTTTACTAGGGCGGCCAGTGTACTGGTCTCGCTTCTGGTTCCTCATGTGACTGCAGTCAGCTAGTGGGTGAATCAGTGACACACTCCTGGGACTACCCACCCTGCCTCTCTGTGCTGTTTCTTTCCAAAGGACTCTTAAGGGAGAACAGTCAAAACTTGTGGTCAAGTGGAGGACCGGGGCCTTGAACTTGCAGGTCTTCTTAAGGATTAGGCCCGCTTTTGTCTGCCTTTTATTGGTTGAAGCAAGTCAGAGCCACAATTAAGGGGAAGCAGTCTTCTTGAGATGTGGTATGTTGGAGACCATGATGCACCTAAGCCAGGGACATTCTTTCTCATCAGTATCAAAATATGGCGTAGATTCTCTGATTAGTTCACTGTATTCCTTCAGTCACTGTCCCAACTGTCCCATTCTGCTGCTCCAGTTCTCAGCAGTTTCTGGAAAGCATCGTCTGAGGTGGCTGATCTAAGTTCTAAGGTTTGTTGCTTCTGCCAGGCTCCTGCCCTCTGCTGTGTTGTCTGTGTTCTTGTTACAGTAGTGTCTACTTACAACTGCTCTTTGATACATACTCTTCTACTTCCAGGCTGCTCTGTCTTTACTCCTGGATCATGGTGTGGTGACTCTTTCTAGTAGATTGTTGGTACCTCTTTCTCAGATACACTTTTGATCATTGGAGAGCTAAGCTGTCTGATTTGAGCCCTGTTTCTTCTATTTTTGCATGTTCCTTTGGTGACCTTCCATGTTGCCTAATATGACAGCATTTGATGTCCACTATCCCCTAATGTGTGTCTTTGACCCTGGTCTTCCCATACTGAAATTAGAGGCTTGATTAACTTCCTATTAATGTATCCAATGGGTACTTGAAATTTAACATAGCAAATTAAGCCTGGCTTTTGTTTTGTTTTTTTTCTTAAACTTCTTTCTCATCTTCTCCATTTTAGTTAGTTATACGAACAATCATGGCTTTGCCCAGCTGAAGTCTGTTGCAACTTGCCTTTGATTCCTTTCCTTGCACAACTCCTGCATGAGGACTGTCACATCCTGTGGCCTCTCCTTACTTGTTAGCGCTCATACTCATGTAAAAGAGCAGTGTTCTTTTGTGAGCAGCAGTTCCTCTCAGGTGTTACTGGCCAGCTCTTGCTGGTTGTGACTGCTCTTGAATTTTAGAGACACGCGCTTGTTTCTCTTGGGGCCCTGCTGTCCAAGTCTCCAGTATCTTTCCAGCCCACATACCCGGCCTTCACCTGGTTCACAACTGATTCTATGATTTCCCTCCCTCAAGGGCATTGCAGGTAGTTCTTCCCTCCCCTTACACTCCGTTCATGCGTGCCCATTCCTTTCATCTGAGGCTCTTTACCTTCTGCTAGGCCTTACTCTTTGTTTCTACACGATTGGCCCCTTCTTGTCTTAGCCCATCCTCCTGATGAGGTCATGCTACTGCTTTTGTGTAACCATTTTTACTATCTGGTATCTCTGCTTGCTCATTGATGATGCGGTCTGTGAACTCTGGACACAAGGATCCTGTTTCATGGATTGTTGTTATTCCTCTAATGCTTTGAATAGTGCCATGCTGCAAGAACCTTGGCACATACAGGTGAATAAATACTTCAGAGGCCACGCAGAATGTTTCACAATATGTACCCAACATAGAAGTCTTGGTAAATAGAAGGGAAATGAAAGTGCATTATCCATAGTATATAGACGACTCTTAGGACATTGGTGGACCCTTTGCAGAGTGCTTGGGCCATAGGGAGGCAGGTGTGCACTGTCCATCCGCATGCCCTTCTGTACTGTGTTACAGTGTTCATTGTGGGCAGGGTTTGGTTTTGTTTTCCTAAGTCATTTAAAAATAATTCGTTAGTATATAAGCACTTAAACATGCCCTAATTTGTTTTTCCATTGCCATTACTGGTCCTTTATAAGTTTTGTTTGTTTGACGTTTTCAAGCCTAAAAACAGTGCCATCTGCTGGCCAGTTTTGTTTTTGTGACTGTAACTTGGGGAAGTAAAATGACTATTCTTTCAAAATATTTTGTCTTCCTATTTTGTTGCTAAGGTTTTTCCTTGCTCTTTGAAAATCAGAATGGCTGTGTTATTCATGCTCCTGACATTCACTGCTGTGACCTTCTGACTTGTGTTTCTGAGTTATCTGTTATGTGGTCTCACCTTCCCTGCATAGCAACCCACGTGAGATTTCCACCTGCAGTCTAAGGGTAAAGCTTGACTGGTTGGGGTGTGAGGTGTTCCTAACACACTGTGGCTTCCCTCGGTACAGAGTACTACTAGACTGGACAGTGACAGAGTGTCCTCTGCCTCCAGCACAGCTGAGCGAGGGATGGTGAAGCCAATGATCCGCCTGGACCAGGAGCAGGATTACCGACGAAGAGAAAGCAGGTAACGTTGACCAAGTGTGAGAGAAGCCAGCACCCTTAGACGAGGCTTTGGGTAAAGATTGCTGAGTTTGTAGATTTAGCCAGAAGTTTTACAAAGTTTACTAGGCTTTTATGAGCACCTTTATATTAGTGAATTGAAGAAAAATAAAAATGAATGTTTAGTAATTGTATTCCTTACTTGCCACAGGGTAACCTTCCTGACTCAGGCAGATTGAGTTTCACTTTCCCTTTTAAGTTGGCTGTTTCAAAGCGTTTAGAGAAAGAGAGTTTTCATAACATTTTAGTATGTGATCATTTTTATAAAGAAAATTAATTATTGCTTCCATTTCTAGAAGAAATCAAAAATATGTAAAGACAAAAATAATTTTAGAGAGACATTCCCTGTCGCAGACACTCCTGTGATATGTCTCCCTGCTGAGGCAGCTGAGGGTGAATTACGTTGGTGCCTCCTGTCTTATCACAGCGCTTCTCTGTTTTCTGTTGTCTTTTAAGCCTTCATAAATCAGGATTCTTTGTTGTAAGTGCTGTAGTAGCAGGCTGTGTCCCAGTGCTCACTGTCAAGTGACGTTGAGGCACTTAGAGCCCTTGAGGTCACAGATGGGGAGAAGGAAATGCCAAGTGAACTCCATGTGTTGTTGGCGGGGAGCCGAGGATACTGTTGACAGGGCTTTGAAGAAGGCATGCTTCCTGTTCTTGTCAGAGATCCAGAACAGATGGTTGGCAGAAGCAGGAGACTTGCCTATGGTTAGAATCAATTGTCAGTCCAGCCATAGGCCATAAAACGTCTTCTATTACTTTGCCATCCTCCAGCAGAGGGCACTGTGTATCAAAAGATTATTAATAACTTTAGTTCAATAATGAAATAGGTAGTTATCAGTAAGTATCACAGTATTATTTTTTCTTGTTCTTTTTTAATTTAAATTAGAAACAAGCTTGTTTTACATGTCAGTCCCAGTTCCCTCTCCCTCCCCTCCTCCCCTGCCTCCCACCGACTCCCTCTCCCATCCCCTTTTTGCTCCCCAGGGAGGGTGAGGCCTTCCATGGAGGATCTTCGAAGTCTGTCATGTCACAATATTTTTATTGTGAGTTTTTTGGCTATTCATGTAAGATTTTTTTTTTGTCTGTGTGACTATTGGATATCATAAAAGATGGTTTTCTTCTGTGTTTATACTTGTTTTGGGTAATACAGAATAATAGATTATGGGATCCATTGTGGTGAAGTATTGAATCAGTATTGGTTTTCTTCTTGATTTGTCTGAGATGGGCCTCACTATATAGTCCTGGGTGGTCTTGGACGTCAGTGTGTGGACCAGGCTGGTCTGGAACTCACAGAGATCTTCCTGGCATAAGTTGGTATTGTAATGACCACAGCCATGTATCTGTATGTGGTGGAAGAGGAGACACAGACCGTTTAAACAAGTAAATACGCTCGTGCTATAGCAAAACAGCCATGCGAAGGCTAATTAAATTATTTCTTACAAGAACAAAACAACATATTTTGATAATTTCTTGCAACGTAAGGCTAGTATTAAAAGTTTTACTTACACTAAGGATATTGCTTGTTGATATTCAGATAGGGTGGAAACATAAGCCCTTCTTATTCCTACTCAAGTTTGCACATTGACAATGCTGAGATTAGCAGTACTTAATTGGTGTAGTATTAAAATCTTAGTCATTTTAATTAATAGGTTTAAAATTATAATTTTAAGCAAGTACAAACATCCTTTCGAGTGATGGGAATGGCTTTTCTGTTAATCATCTCCAGTGGGTTTTTTTTTCTTTTTCCAGTTAATATGAACTCTTTACTAAGTTTGTTAAAATAATGAAATGAGTAATTTATACAGTTTATTCAAGCTAATTTTTTTTTTCCCTCTCAAGACAGGGTTTCTCTGTGTAGCCCTGGCTGTCCTGGAACTCACACTGTAGACCAGGCTGGCCTCAAACTCAAAAATAACCACCTGCTTCTGCCTCCCGAGTGTTGGCATTAAAGGTGTGTGCCACCACTGCCTGGCCAAGATAATTCTTTTAAAAATTTGAAACTGCCAGCCAAGCAAGGTAGTGCACACAGCTAATGCTGGAGGCAAGCAAATCTCTAAGTTTATGAGTTTGAGGTCAGCCTGGTCGAAATAGCTCCATGCCAGCCAGGGCTGTGTTTATTTTTTTTCTTTTATTTTTAAGATCTGTATTGAAATAATCATACATTTAAATCATACTGTTTTCCTAAATTCTTTTTTTTTTTTTTTTTTTTTTTTTTTTTTGGTTTTTCGAGACAGGGTTTCTCTGTGGCTTTGGAGGCTGTCCTGGAACTAGCTCTTGTAGACCAGGCTGGCCTCGAACTCACAGAGATCCTCCTGCCTCTGCCTCCCGAGTGCTGGGATTAAAGGCGTGCGCCACCAACGCCCGTCCCTTTCCTAAATTCTTAAGGTAAACTCAAATTGTTAAATTACAGACTGAAGTAAACTTTGAATAATATAATTTTATGCAAAGAACTTTGCTTTAAAAATGATAACTGTGTTAACTTACATTGTGTTTTTTCTTTAGATTGTGTGTGTGTGTGTGTGTTACATGGGTACTGGGATCCACACTCTGTTCTCGGCATCTTTTTTAACCATTAGGCAATTTCCTCTAGTCCCTTGGTATTCTTTTCTTTTTATTCACCTCTACATGCTTGGCAAAGGTGAGATAATAAGGATGGAGCTCTTTGCCAATGGAAAAGACTAGTTCAGTTGGCTGGTCTGTAAATCACTAGAAAACTCGATCTGTTCATTGTTACCTGAGCTGGGCGGCTTAGTTCCTTGTCTTCAACGTGTGGTGCTCATTAATAATTCATACAGGTGTGTCTTATGCCCTCACACTATAAGTCTGTCATTGAAGGAGTCTATCTACTGTCCATTCATCTGAGTGTGTGACTAGGTTAACAGGAGAGGCTAGAGACTGTTCTGTGTCTGATCTAACACTTCAGAATGCCATGTGGAAACAAACGTGACGTTTTTACCTGTTGACCCTACTCTAAGGCAATTTAAGTGATGTCAGTTTTTCTTTTAGAACTCAGGATGGGGCTGGGCCTGAACTGACACTGCCTGCCAGCGTTGAATTCAGGGAAAGCTGTGAGTTACTTTAGATTCTACTACTAGTGGATGAGCTCTTGTTCTGTTCTTCTCCAGTTCATACTTTCTGTTCCTCTTTCTTTACAGCTGAAGATTCTTTTTTATCTGCCATTATAAACTATACCAATAGCTCTACAGTCCATTTTAAGTTGTCACCTACATATGTGTTATACATGGCGTGCCGGTATGTATTGTCCAGCCAGCACAGGCCCGACATCAGTCCGACAGAGCGCACACATAAGGCCATTGCTGTCGTCAACAAGATGGTGAGCATGATGGAAGGGGTCATTCAGGTGAGTGTCGTCCCAGCAAGCCTGCGGCAGAGGGGGTCATCTTGTTGGCTTCTGTGACATTCCTGGTCTGGTTACAAGTTTGCCTTCATAGCCTCGGGTTCTTTCTTAAAGTAAAACACATAGGTTTTAAAGTCAAAAAAGCTTTTTAAAAATTTCTTTTCTGGAAATTGTGGAGTAAATGGAGATAAACTGAGTATGTTGTAACACAATCATCTTAAAGTTAGTCACTGTGTGAAAGTGCTTGAGGTGATGGTCAGTTTTCTTTGAATTCTCTTTAATTTACTGGAATGAAATTAACACAGTGTGTGTGTGCAGTTCTGCCTTGAATGTTTCTCTGGTGCCAAGAGGAGAGCCGTTCTCCCTCCCACAGGCCCTGGTGGCTGGTTATCAGGCACTTCCTGCTTTGTGATGAGCCTGCTGTGGTGTGGGAGTGTGTGTGTGTGTAGCCTTGACAGTGTAGATGTAGGGTTGGTGGGCATGAGCCTAGACTTCTCACCCAGTACGGACTTCTCTGTTGGCAGAATGGTTTGAATTGTTGATTCTTCTAACTACTCAAAATTCATAGTTGACAAAATTGGCACAGCTACTTTTATATTTGCAGGTAATTTGTAAAGGTTATTATAAGTAAATCTTCACATTTTAAAGTTTTCCTAACTTAACCAATGCCTTTACTCAACTAAGAAACTAGTAGTGCGGTGTTAAATACTTTGGTTAAATGGTTTGGTGATTAAACACATCTTTAATCCCATCACTTGGGAGGCAGAGGCAGGCAGATCTCTGTGAGTTCGAGGCCAGCCTGTTCTACAAAGCTCCACAGAGAAACCGTGTCCTCAAAAAATTAAAAAAAAATGTTGGATGATTTAAAAAAAATTGGTTGAAGTTTAATTTGAGGGGAACTGAGATGGTCTTTTAATATTCGCAGAGTTGTTTTTAAAAGCCAAAAGTTTTCCACGGATACTTCTTTCACAGTTGAGTGGTTAGCACAACAGGAGTTTGATGGTCTTGTTCCAGCTAAAGAATAGATAAAAAGGAAGGCCATTTTATCTGAATGTTTTGTTACTCTGGTATCATCACAAACTGTCATTTTCAGTTGTTACTCAAAGTCATTATCTGTCCCTTGCCCTGTATGGACTTCAGACCGAGGTGCTTCCACTGGCAGCCTGCTTTTGAGAGTTTGTCCTCGCTGTTCTCTGCTAGTGAGAAAGGCGTAGGTTCCGTGTAAAATTGGAGCACTCTTTGTTAATGGAAAAGGATTATCACAGTGAATAATTTTGGCAAGTTATTTAAATTCTGTTTTCACAACATCATTCTCTTTAGTATAGCTGTGCTGTGAATTCCTTATGCACTTAAAATTTTCAGTTTTTATTTTGGTTTGTATTGTTTTTTTTCATTCTCATTCTCATAATTAATTCAGGGAAATGGACTCCTTTACCTTCTAAGTAGTAAGCCCACAATATCATTTTTAAAAAGTGTTTGGAAGTCCTTCCTTTGCATATCTTTCAAATAAATCAGTATGTTCATTTGTGTTTTATTATGTATGACATCATCTTTGTAAACTGTAAAACTCAGTTGTTGTGCCAATGTTAAGAATATGAAACCAACCCTGTATGTCAAGTAATTTGGGACTAACTAAGTGTCGTGCCTCATGTTGTACCTTCATGTTAGTGTTTTGATTTTTTAAAACTATCATGATTGTTTACAAGTTTCTTTCTCTCGTTCTGCTTGATTTCCCCTCGTCTGTTTTTCTCCAGGAAGTAGACCAGGTTGATCAGGTAGGACATGCTGCTGGGAGCTGATCCTAGCTGTGTTGGCTTAGCTGAGTTTCTCATGCTGCTTCCATTACAAATACGATCCTACAAAAACTGGACTGAGCAGTTCATAACCCTCATTCAGCAACTGAAACATGCAGTACTAAACCCTTTTTGACTATGCAACTTTATCAGCATTTCATAATTTCTGCTTAATGCACTTGAGTGTGGATATGAAATGACAAACGTTCTGTTTCTTCTCTATTATTTATCCTTGGTTCCTATTCTTTGGATCTCATCTAAGGTTGCCTGGCCTGCAAATGTGGTCGGGAGAGGACGCGATAGATCAGTACTTGATACTGAGTTGCATGGTGTCCAAGCCAGTGACTACAAGTATCAGGGTGGCTGTGGGTAACCGTGGATACATGTGTGTATGCTACACAGATTACCAGATAATGCATAATCTACAATTTGGTTTGGTAATACACAACATCTCCTTTCTACTAATTCTGCAAATTGTATGTGAGACCAATATGTCTGTGTACATGTACCCTGAGATGTTGCAGTGGTCATTTTCTTCCCGTTGCTCTGCATGTACTAAATTTCTTTGCAAGTATCTGGTATCTGTGGTAAATACCTGGTGAGGATGGGAAGGTACTGGTCTATCTTCAGCTCTTCAGGGGCATTCCCATTCCTGTTTACGTCTAAGTTTTCTACTGTCTTGTGTTGTTAATGGGAGTGTTTCTGTCCACAGAAACAAAAGAACATTGCAGGGGCGCTTGCGTTCTGGATGGCGAATGCATCTGAACTTCTCAACTTCATCAAGCAGGACCGAGACCTTAGTCGGATCACACTAGATGCCCAGGACGTCTTAGCACACTTGGTTCAGATGGCATTTAAGTAAGAAGCACAATTCTAGAAAGAGTTAACTTGCATGCTTCCTGTTCTGTTTTCAACTCATTTAGAGATTTATAGTTAACCTAATTGAAGATGCTTACAAGAAACTTGAGAAAATGTGTTGACCTAAAAGCACTGTATTCTGGGACTCTGTTTCTAGTGTTCCACAATTCAATTTGTTTGTTATCTTTAGTGGGAAATATTATTAAAGAATAAAGACTGTCTCAATAACAAGTCTTAACAAATTATGTATTTTCAGGTACTTGGTTCACTGTCTTCAGTCAGAACTTAATAACTACATGCCAGCCTTTCTGGATGATCCAGAGGAGAACAGTCTGCAAAGACCAAAAATAGGTTAGGGTCTTATGAGCCTTCCTCTAATATTTAACTTGGTCTCTCTTTTTTTTTTTTTTTAGATTTATTCTTTTTAATCTTTAAGTATATGTGCGTTTTGCCCGATTTTATGTTTGTGTACCATATACAAGCTACAGAGGCCAAAGAGGGTGTGTGGTCCCTTGGGACTGAATTACAGACTATTGTGAGCCGCCATGTGGGTGCTGAGAGTCCAGGGAATTGACCATTTGAGTGCTGAGAATCGAGGGAATTGCCTTGGGTCTTCTGGAAGAGGGCGTATCCTGTCAGAACCGCAAGGGCAGGCCAGTACAGATGCCTGCATACTATGTTTTAATTTGTGTGTGTGCGTGTGTGTATGTGTGACTTTTGATGGCATTCCTGAAACTAGAGTTAGAGATGGCTGTTATCTGCCATGTAGGGGGCTGGGAACTAAACCTGGGTCTTCTGCAAGTACAGCAAGTACTCTTTAACTTCTGAGTCATTTCTCCAGCCCTTAGTTTATTTTAATGTTGAATATATTGTAAGGGGTGTGTTCCTTTTTTTAAGATTTATTTTTATTTATGTAATGTGTTTGTGTGAGTGTATGCTGTGGGTGCCAGTACCCAAGGAGGCCAGAAGAGGGCATTACAGCCCCTAGAGTTGGAATACGTGCAGCTGGGAAGCTAACTTGGGTCTCCCAGAAGATCAGCCAGTGTTATTACCTATGAAGCCATCTTTCCAGCCCCAGAGTTGTTTCTTAAGTGCCTTACTGGATTTGGTGGTTTTTAAAATAACTTCTAAGGAACTGTCTGTTAGATTTATGAATAATTACCACTTTTGCTTTGCTATGTGGGTAATACATAAAAGACCTTAAAAAGTCTTCTAGGTGAATTTATATGTGAATCATCATTAGTTAGTAACTGCATGTATTTGAGACCACATCCTTGCTTTCTGTTTGAATTTGGCATTTATAATGGCTTGACAGCATTTGTCAATTACTGTTACTGCCTGTGTGTGATGCTGGTATAACTCAGAAGGTTCTGCAATGACATTTGATCCCTGGGTTTCTATCCGTGTCCTGAACAGATGACGTGCTGCACACACTCACAGGAGCCATGTCCTTGCTGAGGCGCTGCAGAGTCAATGCTGCCCTGACCATCCAGCTGTTCTCTCAGCTTTTCCATTTTATCAACATGTGGCTGTTCAACAGACTGGTGACTGACCCAGACTCGGGCCTGTGCTCCCACTACTGGGGAGCGATTATCCGCCAGCAGCTAGGGCACATTGAAGCCTGGGCGGAGAAGCAGGGCCTGGAGCTGGCAGCTGACTGTCACTTGAGCAGGATTGTGCAGGTGAGCACCAGGCTGCACTTCTCCCTCTTCCCGGCAGTGCACCTTGAGGTGAATTTCAGCTGTGTAAAGCTCAGTCTTTTTCCCATTGCTCACAGTCAAGCAACAACGCGGCAGCATCTGGGCTGCAGACGCTCATCGTCTCCTACTTCTGGAAACCAGAGGTTGAAATCAAGGGAGTATAAATCTGTTCTACCGACCTCTGGTGGTTTCACACCCAGTGTAGGCACTCATTGGACAGCTTTTGCCATAGTCTTTATATGGCAGTCCTGGGTATATGTCTGTCCAAGTGTTTGGTTTGTACAAAGGCACAAGTATCACTGGCCTCCTTTTTAACCAACTCTGTGTAGACAAGGTCCCTTCTCTGTAGTACTCAGACCACTAGCATCGGCATTTCCAGGGGGCATTGTTCACCCTGTAACAAGGTGTGAAAGCAGAATAGAGATAGCACTGAGGTGTTCTTTTTGTTGAGAACAGCAAGATAAACTTTAGAAAGCTATATACTGAAGGATAAGTGATAATTAGTTGCCAACTCATAGTCAGCTCTCAGGAAAGCTTCAGAAACCAGTCTAGGAACTGGTGTTTATAGTTAAGGAAATGAGTTATGTGCAACCCCAAAACATACAACAATTAAAGATAGTCATTATCCTGAGAAGCTAGTTAGCTTTCAACATTCATCAAAATTCCTATCAGCAAGACTCTGATTCCTGTAATTGATCATCTGGATTGCTTATAAATATTCAAACTTTCAAAGAGACTTTAAGGTACATTATAAACATTGACACTTGAGTCAAATTATGTTAAAACATAAAAACTAAAGTAAGCCCAACAGGCTGTATAAAAAGCCTACAAAAGTATTCGTGTAGTTTAATATATGCTGCTAAATGTTAATGCCTCTTTATAAGTACCCTGCATTTCAAAACCAGATTAGCAAGTTAGTTTAACAACTGTTACAAAAGGTTTTTTTGTTTTGTTTTGTGCTGGGGATTTGAACCAGAGCCTCACATGTGATACTAGTGTGAGCTCTTCCACTAGCCTTATACTCTCAGTCCCAAAGAAAAAAACATTTTTAGTATCTTACTTCATAATATTTGTTCTTTTAAATAGGCTACTACTTTGCTTACCATGGATAAGTATGTACCTGATGACATTACAAATATAAACAGTACGTGCTTTAAGTTAAATTCTCTGCAACTTCAAGCCTTGTTACAGAACTACCACTGTGCACCCGATGAGCCTTTTATTCCTACGGTAAGTAAATATACCACGATACCATGAAGTGTTGGCTTGTCTGCATAGGAAAATTGGGGGGAAGAGTAGGAAGGTCATTTTACTCTGAAGTCTTAGATGTTTGGTGAGAATATAGACTATATAAGTTTTTTTTAGGAAGAAATGATTTAATTCGGGGCATTGCTTCTGGGGAATCTTTGGAAGGCCTAGAGGAAAGGACGTTGAAACAGTTGAAGTTTATACCACCATGCTGAAGTACCAGAGAGCCAGAGCTGCTGTGAAAGCTGCAAGGGTACTTTTCATAGCAGCAGCATAGTCTTCACTGCACAGCAGTTCTCTAGATTTCAGACATCAGCGTCCAAAACCAGTTTTCCCTGGTTCCATCACTTCATGATAATGTTCACTAACTATTAATACATTGACAAACAAGAGTGTTTTTGAGTTAATCATTTCCCCCAAAGCCTCGCCTCTAAATGTAGGTTAGCAAGCCATCACATAAGCCTTTAGGGGGTGCTTCCTATCCAGACGGCGATATCTCCATCTGAGCCACTTGCGCCTGAATGATACTAGTTGGTGGGCAAATGGAATTCAGGGTTGAGTTTATATCAATAAAAGACAGGTACAAAATAGCCAAACAGCGAGAATAGCCAATTAGCAATACAGTGCCACCACAAAATCATGTTATAGTGATGTGGAGGAATGTTTTGCTACAGTGAAGAAGGAATTGTGGCTGCCACCACTGTGTGCATTGTGCGTGAATATTATGATGGCAGTTGTTGCAAAAGAAATTGTATGTGCATGCAGAATGTATGCAGCAGCTCCCAGCTATTTAATTTCAAGAGTAGACAAAACTCTCTATGACATTATAAGCCTGGGTAATTTTTCTCCATATGGAAAAGGAAGATTGTGGTAGAGCTCAGGGTTGCTTCTGAGGGGCTACTTGGTTCCTGATATTGAAATTGTAGGGAGATGAGCTGGGATCTTCATTGTAATGAGTCATACACTTGAGACATGTGAGCTTCACATGTTTGTTTTCTTACCATCCCCAAATGCCAGGCGTGCGCATGCATGTGTATGAATGTGTGTGTGTGAGATGTATCGTGTAATATACATCATCCATAGACTCCCAGTTTTGCGGCTTTTCTATTGATAGGCTTCAAGCAAGCATAGATACTTTATCCTGTTGTTGTTACTGGTTTTTATGTTCATTTTATGAAGTTTTCTCTGTGGGATTACATATTCCATAAAAATACAACTTAATAAGAATGTGTTAAAGAATTGTGCAAATAAATCAACTGGTTTGGACAAGGGAAGAACCTCTTTTTTTGTTTTTTTTTGTAGTTGTTTTTGTTGAGATAGGATTTCTCTGTGTAACCCTGGTTGTCCTTGAACTCACTCTGTAAAACTGGCTTTGAATTCACACTGAGATCTACCTGCTTCTGTCTCCTAAGTGCTGGGATTAAAGGTGTGTGTCACCACTGCCCAGCGAGGACATCTTGTGATAAAACAATGTTTTAAAGCCTTAAGTGCCTGGGAATTAGTGAGCCTCTTGTTCTGTCTTTTTAAGTAGTGTGTGTCTGGTGTGTGGGCACTTTATGCAGCCTACTACACATGTCCTGTTGATTGTGCTCTACCCTGAGGTCATGCTGTGACATAGCAAGGAGCTTCCCATCAGTGAGCTTCCCTTAATGAGTCAGCATTTGCTTTCTGCAGGATCTCATAGAAAATGTTGTGGCTGTTGCTGAGAACACAGCTGATGAGCTTGCCCGCAGTGACGGCAGAGATGTGCAGTTGGAGGAGGACCCAGACCTACAGCTACCCTTTCTCTTGCCAGAAGATGGCTATTCCTGTGATGTCGTCAGAAACATTCCAAATGGTTTACAAGAGTTTTTAGACCCTCTGTGCCAGAGAGGTAAATACCGTTTGTCATACCTCAGTTGGAGCATGCAGTTGGGCTCTCTGAATGACAAGCCTGTGGAACTGTGCCTGAGGAAGCTGTGTTCCTATGACTCAAGAAGAGTTTCACTGAGATGAAAGGTCTCACATGCCCAGACACAGCCGTGTGGGTGTGTTACGTCCCTTGATTGAACACCTGCTGTCTTCCCACATGGTGCCACAACAAAGGACCTTTGACTACACCTTTCTCCTGGCAGTGAAAACAGCAGGGCTCCCCGGGTTCTGAGTGTTCATAGCCCACTGCCACCCAGCTGAACTGTCGTGTGCATGTCTCCCCTTGCCTCTGTTCCTTCCTCACAAAGTGGGCCAGGAGGTGTGAGAATGGACAGGTTGCCTGTAGAGGAGGCTCTGGGAGTGCCCCGTGTCCTGCTGCAGCTTCTGGGGCCCCCACACCACACCAGACAGGCTTGCGGCTATTTCTAGCTTTTCCCTGACTGCTTCTGTGACCTTTGATATACTGTTTTATTGGTGTAAATATTTTTCTAATCAGTTTTTTCTTAAAGTATGCGATTTGAAGCAATACAAATTTTAATCCACTCTGCTACATTTTTTTATGATGCAGAGAATAGCAGATGAATAGGAAAATAGACCCTAAGTATGGGGGTTCAATTATATAACAAATAGTAAGAGTAGTAAAAGTACTGTGGCCATAGATTAATGTAGTGAGTGTGATTTGTTTTTTAAGCTTCGTTGACTGTTTCACCACAATAAATATGTTTTAGATCTTCAAAAGTATAGTGAAAAACATTCATCACATTGAAAGACTGCCTCTTGTCATGCATTGAGTGGTTCACAAAGCAGTTTGTGCTTCAGTCTTCCTAGAGACACAGAGTCCAAGGCGGGGAAAGCAGAGGTGAGGTCATTTAGGAAAACTCTGCGAGTTTGAAGGAGAGTGAACAGGTTTAGGCCTGAAAAAGCCCTCACTCATGCTACAGGTAGACCTGTGATCAGACAGGGAAGATGAGCATGGCTGCAGTAGTTTTGAACACTGGGGCCAGCCGTCTTTAATGGGAGGAACTCGAGCCTATGGAATTCAAGCCCCTAGTCAGCGTGGGGATCACAGTAAAGCAACTTGACTGCTTGCTACAGAGCTATCTAAAGGTGTCTTCCTATGTGCACACCGCAGCAGATCAGGTCAAGACCATGGCCTCAAGCAATAGGCACATTGTCCCCAGGAGTGAGTCTTCTGTGTTACCAACTTTTGTTGGTAGGCTGTTGAACTGCTCTTGAGAGAACATGTTTCTAGAGATGCTTCCAGGGGCTTTTCCTTTAAGTCTGTGACAGAGCCAGTGACATGGGTACTACTTTACTGTAAAGGGATGTGAGTATTGTACCTTCCCAGTGAAGTTTGTGAGTGTTGTATCTTCTCAGTGAGAGTGAGTGTGCTGTCTCCCAGGGAGGGTGTAGGTGTTCTCTTCCCGGGGCGGTGTGAGTATTGTCTTTACAGTGAGGATGAGCACCCTGTCTTCATAGTGCTGAGTTGCTGTCGCTTAGGTTTGGCTGGGCGCTTCCCCCGTCCATACTCACTTAGGCATGCTTCATGTTGACACTCAGAGAAACCTGTTAATTAATATCTTGTAAATAAGTAAGCCAGGAGACTAATCTGCTCCGACTTTGCAAATGGACATAATTTATAGTGTGCCGGTTCTGTCTTGTACACCACAGGTGTCTGCCAGCATGGAAACAGTGAGGTCTTCACTTGACAAAGAGTTTCCTTCATATCTTTCTTTTGGATTAGTAATCTTAGGCCATTTGGTATTCCATTCCAGTCTTGGCATCCATGTATTACTTCATACACATTGGATGCTTATAGTTCATGCAGCCTGGCACACGGATACCTTTAAAGGTGTAAAAAAGGTTGAGTGTTATGACATCAGTGTTTCTTCATTGTCCACACTCTATTCTTTATAAACTGATTAAAGAGCTACTGTATACTCTCAGTACTCCCCCCCCACCACCTGAATGCAACACAGTTCTGTGAAAGACTATAAAACCTACCCAGACCAATGTCTGGCTTGTGATGAGTAAGCACCTCAAGCTATGACAAATGATCTTCCATCAGCAGTATAGTGCAGGGCTTGTTGTGGGAATCTAACATTTGAAAACATTGCTGAAATTTCAAATTTTTAATGGTTAATCATTCTCTCACGAGGAAGAAAAGAAAATTCTGGTTACATATCAATGAAACTGCATTTTATTTCTTATTTTAACTGATGTTCTTTATATTTCCCTTTCCGGAACTCTCCAACAAATACATGTCTGATAACAACAGTCCAAATTATACTCCATTGGTAAAACACTGGGCCAGGAAAACTCTGGCTAGGCCAGCTAGGCTTTAGACATGCAGCCGTCCACGTACCGGTGAGGTCTTGACCAACACTGGCTGTTCACAACAAGAAGAAAGTAGCCCTGGAGCAAATGTCAGAATTATGGAATGCCTATGTCATAAGACTCTATCAAATGGAACTGAGGAATAGAAAATAAAATTTGACTACATTAAGATGACATGGCTTTGAATAAAGGTCTTGATATTTTAAATGTGTTCTCTATCTTGAATAAGGACATCAGAAATACTTTGGTGGGAGTGCCAGATCCAGCTAAGGGCCTACCACATAATAGGCAAAGTGCTCTACACTCAGTGAGACAGGAAAGTAAGGCAGGGGGATGATGAGTTTGAGGCCAGTCTAGGCTACAAAATAAGTTCAAGGCTCTTGCCTCAGAAAACAGCAAAACAGAACTGTGCTTTCTTTAAGACTTTAATTGCATCTGAGCTGAGAAAATTTGGACAAAATGTTGTGAGAAAGGGCCCTCCCAACCCAGGGTGTTGTAGTGGGAGTCACCTGACCCCACCTGGAGTAGAGGTGATGGCCTGTGCCTGTCATCTCAGGTCCTTCCCGCCTTTCCTTTGCTGAGCTGTGTGTGTGTCATTGAGGGCTTTCCTTAAGGCGGAATGTGTGCTTTTGCAAGACTATTTACAGAGCAGCTCACCAGTTTTCATAGAAAAAGAAAAATAGTTTAATTCAATAATGTTGTTTTGTTTCCCTTGTTGAAATTTTGTGGGATTAAGGATGTCTTACCTGTTTTACAATTGCTATTCTCTTTCTAGGATTTTGCAGATTGGTTCCTCATACACGTTCACCAGGTACTTGGACAATATATTTTGAAGGTGCAGATTATGAAAGTCACCTTATGCGTGAGAACACAGAACTGGCAAGTATTTGAGGTTGGGATGGATTAAAGTATGAGATGTTCCTGATGACTTTGAAGATGTGATATAATTTATTCTTTGCATATGTAGAATGTTGTAATGGAGAATTTTTAAATGATTTTCTAATACCAATTTGATTCAAACATTTTAAAAGCATGCATATGAACTCCCCGAGCCAGGTTCTGTACAGTTTTGTGTAGTAATAAATGGTTCTGTAACAGTAAAAAATATTTATGATGACAGTTGTGGCAGCCTACATACATATCTGTGAAACATACTAGTATAATTTGAAAGAATTGACTAGAAACATTTTTCAGTGACAAAAATATTTTTCTGCTGATTTCTATCTTCTTAAATGCATATCAAATAATTCATAGTTTTGAAATAATAAGGAATTTCACTCATCTTAAGGAAAATTATACTTTGCTCCAAACATAGTTTCAAAACGGATACCTTTTTATAAAGTGTATATATTTATGTAAAACTTTAGATTTAAACAGATATCAGAGCCATCTCCTAAAATTGATCGATACATGGTCTCACTACTAACAAAATGACTATTCCTTTTTCTTGACTTCCTTTGTTTTTTGCTCAAAATCAGAATTCTGATGACAAGATTTTATAGGACAGCAAATACTTCTTGGATTCCTTGGTTGTTGTCTTTCAGATTTATTCTCAGATGTTAGCAGTCTCGTGGACTTTTCACTCGCCTCTTGTTTAATCACTGTCTTTTTGCAACGTGCATCTCAGTGTGTGCTCAGGGCTCACTGTGTTGTTCACCTGTTTACGCTTTGGTGTGATGTTTGGCATGAGTGTGAGGCGTGACTTCTGTAATGCTTTCCTTAAAACAAACACTGCCTTTGAATTTGTCCAAACCCAGCTGCCTCCTTTGCATTGACTGCCCAGCTCAGGGTGTGTTTCTTGGCAGATGCTGGACTGCTACTAATGTACCCTGTAGTTCTTTATGTTCACCATTTTAAATAAAATGTACACTTTCCCAAGAGACGAAGCTGCAAGCCCATCTCTGTTACAGCCATTTTCTTTGGAAAACAAACCAAAAGCTTAACAATTTATTTTAAAAGATCATAATGGCAAAAATTGGATTTGGTTTTTATGATTGTGTTTTCTATCCTGATACAAATGGCAGCTTAATTTTGTTTCATAGATTAAATCTTACCATTTAAATGGCACTTATATCTAGATCCATCTTGTAGACTTTGTCAAATGATGCGGTATTTGTTTAGCAAATGAAAAGTACCTGAGGTAGTGGGCCTTTTGTACCCGTTCCAGTCTTTGTTTATAGCAAATCAACTTTCTAACAGTGTGAAGACACTTCCATTTTCATCACTAAATGAGCCTCTTTTCTCATGTTTAGGCCCAGCCTCTGAGGAAGGAACCTGAGATAATCACGGTGACCCTAAAAAAACAGAATGGAATGGGCCTCAGCATTGTTGCAGCAAAGGTAGGACTGAGGGAGTCCCTGGACAGCACCTTGTCATGTGTGACCATGAGTCAGCCTGGACCAGAAGTGATGGGGAGCTCTGCTGCCTTCAGAGGACTTGTTCAGCTCTGCTTCTGGGAGGAGGGAGCATGCTGCCTGAAGGAGCCACTGGTCTCCTGGTGTTCACTGAGGGATGAGCTGCTTTGAAAATGTGGCTGAGTGAATGGTACCTGGAGAGGGAATGGATCGTCTCAGAGGAAGCCGTTTAAAGGCATGGTCAAGACTTGTTGGGCGCCATGGGAAAAGCAGATGTGGGCACAAGAGAAACAGTTGCGTCCGTCACGTTGTCGTAGCAGGTGTCAGATCTCTTCAGCCTTCAGCGTATGGCAGCCATGGGCTCTGATGATATAGCCATTCTGATCACTAGGTTGTCCGTCTGCTGGAAGGTGGACTGGAGCTTAGCATACAGCTCATCTGAGGGGTTGACAGCTCCCTCACCCTCCCTGGTCCATTGGCATCTAAATTCTACTAGTCTGTTAAAGGATGATTTTTTTTCTTTCCATTAAAAAAATTAATTGTATGAATAGAAATTATTATTTAAGAAAAAATAGAGAAGCTTCTACAATCATAGTCAGGTATTTTCAGTGAAACTAAATGAAAATGATTTTTTTAGTGAAAATTTTAAGTTAGCATACAAAGTGATGGGTTTCATGATGATATTTTCGTAAGGATGTCACTACATTTGGTTCTCAGTTATTCCCTCTCCCATTGCTGGCGTCTTGTTGCCTTCACCCCACTCTGACTGGTTTTCTTCCCTAGACAGTGTCCCTCTGCTTCACACGCTTTTCCTTCTCTTTTCCTTTCTTTCTTTGTTTTGTTTTGTTTCCCCCGAGACAGGGTTTCTCCTGTGGCTTTAGAACCTGTCCTGGAACTCCCTCTTGTAGACCAGGCTGTCTCGAACTCACAGAGACCCTCCTGCCTCTGCCTCCCAAGTGCTGGGACTGAAGGTGTGCACCACCGCTTCCCGGCTTTGTTTTACTTTTAAAGCGTTTATGTCCTAGTTTCCTCTCTGTTGCTGTAATAAACGCTGTGGCCAACACCTACTTACAGAGGACTTTGTTTCGTCTGTAGTTAAGGGACACCAGGCAGGAACCTGGAGGCAGGGACTGAAGCAGAGAGCGTGGAGGATGCTGCGTGCTGCCTTCTTTCCATGCTTGCTCAATTTGCTTCTGTATGTAACCCAAGACACCTGCCGGGGCGTCACTGCCCGCAGTGAGCTGGACTCTCCTGCAGTAACCAGGGCAACCCCACAGACATATCTGCAAGCCCACCTTACAGACACAGTTCCCAAGTTGAAGTTCCCTCTTCCCAAGTGACTGGGTTATGTCAAATTGATAAAAACTGACCAGCACAGTGAGCCATCTATTCATTCATTCATTCATTCATTCATTCATTCATTCATTCAATTAATACACTAAATTGTCAACTGTGAATCTGTATTTGAGCTTTTTAAAAGTTAAGAAATAAGCAGATTAATGAGCATGAAAGTAGTCATCCAAGCATGTGGGGTTTTTGCTTGTCCTTGATATTAAGAAATTAGAAAAATGACCCAACAGAGGTCGTTGTGGATAGAGGTGAGGACACAGGCAGGGAAGAATGACCAGTGTCATGTGCACTGTGTTTGAGCAGCCTGCATCTGCAAGGAGAGCCATGCTGTGCAGGGTTAGAGTTGTGGGCTGACGGACACGTCTTGCTGCCTTGTTCGCAGCATAGCAAAGTGAAGGGTTTGGAAGGAAGAAAAGGCATTGATGTCTGAGATTTGTACGCGTGACTGAACAGGAGGGCCTGGAACTATGCACAGGTATGTCCAGGACTGAACTGGGGGGACCTGTGTGTATACCCACCATACTTGTCCCTGAAGCTGGGATGGACAGAGCAGAGATCCTGAGCCTCCCATCCTCCTTCACTGTTCAGAATTCCTGTTCATCTCTTGTGGTCATGCAGCATGTTTCTAGACCGTTAGAAAATGCTTGGCTCAAGCTCAGAACATTTGCAAACATGAAAGGGAAGTGTCAGCCATGAAACCATTTTGTTTCTGCCCATTTCTAGAGGGGAAACAGTTCAGAGATGACTGTGTCACTCACACACAGGGAAGACTTAAGTCACGGGACGGGTCATGGCTTAGTGATGAAAACCCGCCCAGCACCTAGGAGGACTGCTTATTCTGTGCTGGGAGGAAAGCAGCAAAGAAGTCTGAAGTTCCATAGTGACTGTGGACACAATCTTTCTCTCTAATGCTGATCTTTTGCTGGAGAGTGTATCAGAGTTACTGTTATTTCCAGTTGAAACGGTCTTCCAGAATAGAATGACTTGTTTTCTTTAGACTCTGGTGTGGCTTAATTTCCCTGGTGTGGTGTCCTGATGCGAAGGACCTAGTGTTTCATTATAGTAGGCCCAGGCTTTCTTGCCTCCTTGCCCACTCTTGTGTCCTCTGCCAGGCATCAGGTAGAGAACTAGGACATCCAGCCAAGCTGGAAGTCATAGTCCATCCTGAGTTCCCTTAAACAGACTCCTCCGTCTGTTTACAAGAGCAGGTCTTGGCAGAGTTGTGTTCTTTATACTTGAGGTGTAATGTGACCACTCCCCTGTGGTGTGGAGTGGGGGTTGTAGGCTTTGATGGTTAATCTTTGTTGTCACCTTGACTGTTCATGAGGATGTTTCCAGAGTTAACTGAGAAGGAAAAACCCACTGTTGTGCTGCGCCATCCCATGAGTAGTTCATAGAATAGACAGAAAAGGAAAAGGAGTGAGCACCAGCACTCATCTCTCTGCTTCTTAACTGTGGGTGTCATGTGACCAGCCATCTCACACTCCCACTGCCGTACCCTGGCTACCCTGAAACCATGAGACATAAACAAAACCAAAAACCTACCTTCAAGTTACTTTTACCAGGGACTTCCATTATAGCAGGAGAAAAAGAAGTAACTAATTCACAAGTTTTCTATTCTCATTTCCTGGTAGCTGGAGTGACAGAAGGTAACACTAACAGAAACACAGGACCGCTGAGACCAGACCCCTGTGAGGGTCCTTGTTTCCCTCCTGCCTTGTTGAAGAGTTTGTAGTTTCTGGGCATACTCAGTGCTGGCAGATACTTGTGGGATGATAGTGTCAGGTGGGATGAACTAGGTATAATAGGTCAAAGGGGGAAGGGGAAATGAGAAAAGAACCTTGTTCTGGCTGGAGCAGCAGCTGGTGAGGTAGGATTGAACATGTCACAGCTGAAAATTTGGGAGCCTGGTAAGATAAATGAATGTGTTTTCCAGCAGTGGCTTGGATAATGGAGCTCAGAAAGTTAGAGCTAGAGGGGTGTGGTGTGGTGGCGCATGTCTTTAATTCCAGCACTCGGAGGCAGAGGCAGGTGGATCTCTGAGTGCAAGACCAGCCTGGGGTACAGAATGACTTCCAGGACAGCCAAGGAGGTTACACAGAGAAACCCTATTTCGAAAAACAGAGAAACAAACAAAAGTTAGAGCCAGAGATGAAATTTAGGAATTGGTATATGGGCACTGTGAAGGAAATAGTTAAAAATTCTCTGTCACCTGGACAGTACCATTTAAACATATGAAATAGTAATATATAAGCACTTTAAAAAAAGAGACAGATGAAAATCTGCTCATCGTGACCATTTCCATACTGTATTTGTCATATTTATAGTATGGGAAGGAAGGCTCAGCAGATGAAAACACAAGTTACCTTGGGTGTCTAAGCTGCCAGGACAGCGCAGTCCAGGTGAGGAGTGTATACGGTCTCTGTAGATGCAGGGATGGAGTCCGCTTACCATTAAGATCTCAGTACATTGTGGATGTAAGATAGGTGGGAGTTAGGACCTCTGCTACAGTTGGTCTCCTGCTGAGCCGCTTGCACTCTGGGTTCTGTGTGCTCTTCTGGCAATACTGTACTACTCATCCTGCCTGTGTCACTAGAGGCAGGTCTACTTGTGCAGAACTGTTTCTGTGCCTTTAAGACTCTGGTGATTGTCTTTCCTTGTGATTGAGTAGGAGGAAGCCATAGAAAACACTGGTAATAGCTTTTACTTCCACCCAGCCCTGCTGGTTTTCCTGTCACCCCCAAATGTCTTCCTGTGTCTGCACTTGCTGTTTGCTGTAAGTCTGTGTGTTAACCCAGGCCTTTTCCCTGTTTAATTGGTGTCTGGCTCTGCCGCTGTAACTCTGAACCATGTTTTGATATTAAGTTCTTCTCCTTACCCTCCACATGGTGGTTAAACTTGATGAAACCCAGATGATTTGGAAGCAGTGTGGGCTTGCAGTCTACTTTCTGAGACGTTGCTTTTGGAGAGGTCAGCATGCTACTTCTTACTCATCTGTGGGACAACACGATGCCGACGCTTCCTGTTTAATTTGGATTTTTAAAATACAAACAATTCCCTTTCATTTTTATAACCCTTTAAAGCTTAATAAAGGACAAAGGGAATGAAAATCAGAGTGCCTTGGTTGCATAAGAATCTGAGTGTTGCATTGGTTCCAGCTCATGTTGATAAATGCCACACAGTGTCACGGCACCCAGCTCAGCATTGTGGCAATCCATTCTCGAAAAGCCAGCTGTGTTGGTTGCTGTTGAAACTGAGAGAAGTAGACAACTGATCTCCCGCTCAAGACTGTCCTAGAGCTAGAAATGTGGTTCTCTGTTGTTGGAAGGACGGAATCGGTGGTGAGTTTCTACAGGGTGTTGCCTGTAATGTTCTTGTGCAAACTATGATCTTTAAAGAATGTGCTTCATCCTCCACTACGACGTGTTTAAACCTGTTAATAATTAGCTTGCTCATGAAGAATGAACCGTGTAATGTACCTCGTAATTACACACCCAGATAGTTGTTGTTCTCTCTTTATGTGGCAAATACTTAAGGTTCATAAAAATGTGAAGTTCTTACGTTTTTTATTCAGAAAAAAACATAAGTTTTAACTACTGCTTATAATATGGTAGAATTGCTTTAAATAGTAACTG